CTGAATTTTTTAGTAGTTCAACTTGAGAAAGGCCTTTCATCCTTAAAGATGAAATCTTTATCTAAATCTGATTAGGACTCAACTCAAATCTCAGGAAAATCTAAACCCAAGATTTCAGTCTGGCTTTATATCTGTTAACTGTAGTCCTGACCCTGTGGGGACTCCTACATTACATGTATCTTCTTTAATAAATTGCCTCCCTGGCTTTGATGAGATATTTCAACATGAATGGATGATTTTTTTTTTCTGAAATCAGAACTTTAATCTTTGTTTTAGTGAAGAGTTTCTCCATGTAAAACAATCTTCTGTTTAGTGGAATATTTGAAAATGCTTGCATTTTAATTCCATTAGAAACACACTTTCAGCAAATTTTGCCTCTTGGGTTCATAGTGCATAAATGCAGCATTATATAAAGACAAACTTAAAATTTAATTAACTAAAAATAAAAAAAAATCTCTCCAGATTGAGAGAAATGTGTGCCTTATTTACAGATAAAAGTTAGAAATAATGAATCACTGTAAGTATTGAAGACCAAACAATATATCCATGTAGTTCAGATGTCAATATTAACATTTCTCATTAAGGTGGTTTGAGCAATATATGGCCAAGATAAATGCAAGCTGTCAATACAGAGGCAAATAAGGCTAGTAAGGCTTCTGAACTTTAGTGGCACCCTATTCCAAGTTATTGTTTAGCACTAGGTACACTTTAAAGAACTTTAGAGAAACTTCTTAAGTAATGGAAGCCTGTATTTGCTGCCTTTAGGCATGGAAATATTGTGTTTTTTGTAAATTGGATGCATATCCATCACTTTATTCCTACCAGCCATGTCCCTGTGGCAGAATAGCAGCAAGTCCTTGACCTCTTGGCTGTGTGACTTGTTTCTTCACCAGAAAGTTCTATCATAGCTACAAGAGGGATAGCAGACCCCCTTTTCACTACTTCACCATCTTTAACTGTCAAAGACAGAAAAAGAAATGAAGAATTCATCTACATATTTTAGCGATTCATTTAATTCTTAAGCTGGGGGAAGTCAGCATTGTGAATATTTGAAATAATTTCCTGGCGAAGTAATTAAGATGTTTGAAATCTTTTGTCAACTCTGTAACAGAAGATGAAAGGAAAAAAAATGCTTCTGAAGAACAGAAACAATAACTTGATCTTAACTATTGATGAAATATCCCTTCTGATTTATTTTGAAAGGACCCTTTTAAAAATAAAAGAAAAAAAAAAGGAGAAGAAAGTTTTTATATAGTTTTCATAATTTAGAAGGACTTCAGTTGCTGGATATATGCATTAGGTTTTCATGTGTTAAAAAGTGGAAGTTTTGATTTGATGATTTTGCTTGGTGAATTATTCTGAGACAAATATGTACATCATTACTGACCAAATCTTTTCTTCCTTAGAGATTACTAGAAATGCAGATGATGGCGAGTGGTCTATTTACCTTTTCCATATATGCAAATGAAACTATCTTTTTGTTAACAGAAGGAACATAAAATGAATCAACTCAGTATTCTTGTTTTAGGCACAATCTTTTGAGGAACTGATGGATATGGATTCTGTTCACCCCATATGTGCTATTATACTGCAGGGTAAACTCATAACACTGGAGAATAAAGAACCTTTGTTAGAGAGTGAAAAACTCTGCTCATACCAACTAAATCTGGGCAGACTGAGATGGATTAGGATACTAATTGTCATGGTTTCTCTGTGTAATTTTCTACTTAAAAGTATATGGAAGTCCAGAGATGCTTTCACATACTGCTTAAATGTTTGATTTAGCATATGATTAAAAAGGGTATTTTATGTTATATGTTTTATGTTGTAATGTCTAAATGTAATATTAAGCATATGCATTATTATTGTTGTTATTGTTGTTATTAACAGTTACACAGGCTAGACTTTTTCACTCCCAGTTTGTTTGGGGTGGTGCATGCTATTCAGACTGATACAAGAACTACGTTTTAAAACTAAGGTACACTACAAAAACAGATATATTTAGAACTCATGGACTTTCTTTAACATATCATATTAATTTTAGTTGAACCTCCTGGTAGCTGTTAACTTATTAACAAACAACATCTTAACCCTCTTTGCCAGCAATTTTTCAACAGATGTAAACTAAAACATAACTACGTCTTTACCTTTGAAGAGGTGAGGGTGTATTAAACTTCCAGTGGTCCCTTCTTCTGAATGTCTTCTGCTTTCCTTCTGAAAATCTGTTACCTCAAATCACAACTGGTTCAACACAGTATTTTGAGAAATTGTCTTGCAGTATCATCTCACAAAAAGAAGCCCCTAGAAATTTAGAACTTGTAAAGTTGTTTGCACAACTGAGAAAATTTAACAAAAGGCAGGTCCAAAAGCATATTAAAATCATTAAGAGCTTTCCCGTCATGTTCTTATTTGCACAGGAAAACTGTGCCAAAGCATAACACAGGAAACCTTTTTTTTAACTTTCAGTTTAATATAGTTTTAAAGTGCTCAAAATACCATTTTTCAAGTTTATGTAGTTAGTTATACTACATTTTTAAACAAACGCTTAATTTTATGTTTTTCTGCCAATTTTCTTTGTGTGTCTGTGCGTATGTGTATGTATTTTTCCCATTTTCTTGGGAGAGAACAGGTGGATGTCCCACCAAATAAACATAGTCACTGAAGTGAGTGCATCAAGCATGTGTTAACAAGATTAGTCTTAATTAGCTAAGATTTGAAATCAGTGAAGCTGTTCTGAATCTGTTCTAATGATCAGCATCCTTGTCTTTCATTATAGTTTCATTATGGTTCTGATCAAAATCCATTTAATGGTAAAAATAAAATTCTAGATGCCTTCAGTAGGGTCCAGTATTTTGTCTTATGGTTTATGGTTTTGAAAGAAATGTAAGAGGAGATGGTTTTAAGAGCAAATATAACAGTAAACAAAAAGTAAAACTCTTCTCATTCTATATTTTAATTCTGGAAGAGTATGTGGGAGGGAGAGCTCTCTGTTAACTTCATTCACATCATTTAACATCTGTCTGGTTTTTGTTTCCCTAGACAAAATCTGTGTGTGATTCTGACAGAGAGCTCAGAACTCCTGATCGGAATGAGGGCTAGTCTCTGCTTCCAGTAAATGTGCACTGGAGAGTATAGATGTTGAGGGAAGACTTCCATTCTATAAGTAGGCTGTTTACTAATAGTGTGAAAATATAAATTACTGCTTTTTTGTTACTTCAGCAAATTGGTGTGGGCATACCAAAAGTTAAATTGAGAAAAAGGAGACCCAATGTACAGGTAACTTTGGATGGAGGTGATTAGTGCATTAGAATGCATAGACCTGGAAATACAAGTAGAAAGCTTCTGCCCTGCTTACTAGGAAAAATCTAACTAGAGAACAGTTTACTTTGACAAACAGCTTCCAAAGCATGAAGCTTGCATCCTTCCTTGTTTAAATAATAGAAAACATGTTATTGGCTGTAGTGAAGGGCGTTCCATTAAATTATGGTGCTTTACTAATAGATGCTAATTAGAGCCGTGCTGTAAAAATTATTCTTCAATCTTAAAATGAATTTGAAGACTGGAAAAAAAAAGAGACTACTTGTGCTGGCTTTGCTTGCATAAGCCCAAAGTCAAGAAAAGATCATTCTTACGACTTTATTGCCAAGTTTTATTTTACCATGTATGCTGTAATGCTGTATAACATTACAGAATTTGAGTGAACTGTTTAGTTTCTTTCTGGGGAAGTCAGAGTAGGGTATATGTTTTATCTGCTATTTACATCACGTTTCTCAGTTTAGCAAACCCAGCTCCGGAGGATTAACTGCCATTAACCCGATGAGGGAAAAGGAAATTAGTAACATTTATGTAATGCAATCCCTGAGCAGAAAATACTTAATGAAGACTTAGACATCTTTAAAGGAATAGATTAACTATGTAACTAGCAAAATAACAAAATTAGGTACACTATACCATGTTAATTTCTTACATATAGGGGAGTATACAATGCAAAACCGGTGGCTTGCATAACACCACCAGTAAAACATGGTGTAAAATCCTGATCTAATTCAAGTCAGTGATTTCACCGAGTCTCTAGTGGCTGTGTTTATATCACATGTAGAAGACCACCTCTGGGCTAGATTTTTTGTTTATGCACTGGAGAAAGCTGCACTGGAACACAAAAAAGCCTCAATTTTCTGAGCACCCCTGGCTCAGATTTGGCTGTTGCTGGGTTTGCCTGGCTGTGCTGGCTGCCCAGGGAGGTGCAGGTCTGGAAAAGCACTGGCCTCTCATCCACTCCAGATGCTCCTGGGTCTCCCTCTGGGGCCCAGGATTTTGCTGCCTTCTTACCATCATTTATTTTAAAAGCCTAACAGCCTGTGTCTTCATTAGTACTGTGGGTAAGAGTAGGAACTAGGCTCCCGCAACTCAGCAAAGAAAGCCTTCCATAGAATTTGTGAGAATACTGACCTCCCAAAACACATGACAAAGACATTTTAATGAACGTTTTTTTATGTTGCTGCACCAGTTCTTTCTTTCTTTGTTTCCTTCTTGATTTGTCATTGAAGTAATAGACCTTTGCCTTTATTTGTCATGCTGAAAATGGATTGCACTCCCTTTATTTGCATGCTTCATTGCTAGTGATGTACTTCTGTTTTGTTTTATTAAGTTGTGCTGGTGAATGTGGTGGTGTTGCGCTTATTCTAGTCATGTCGTGTGCATGACTGGATAAAGAGAAGAGCAAACTGAACAGTAAGTTTGTTTCTTCATGGCTTGGAATAAACCCCACTAAATGGCAACCTTGGAAGAAAAAATTATGGAGCCCAAATACTGGTAAAAACACATTCTTGGGGGAAAAAGACATAGCAGGGAAAATAGTCTTCCATTTAAAGTACGGGGCTAGGAATTTTCTATTCTAATTTCTAATGGGTTTCTTTGTGCCTCAGGCACATCACATAATGTATCTATACATGGTTAGTTTCTTCATTATTAAAACTAATTAATTAAGTACCTCATAAAGAATGTGTGGTGGTATAGCATAAGTCTTAAACAGAACAAGAACAAACAGTTAATGTATACTTGAATTTTGGTGGACTGTTAAAGTTGACTATTTTGTCTTTGGGACTCCTTAACTATGGCTAGTCCAGGTTATCATTTGAAATGAATATTGACCTTGACTTGATGTGATGGCTTTTGTTTTTCTTTTTTTTACCATTTCTTTTCTTCTCTGTTCCTTTGTGTGTTGGAATGGAATGTGAACTTCACAAATGCCTCCTCTGCCATGCCAATGCCTTCATGCATGCTGTTTGGGTTTGACCATGCTATTCATTATCCGTTGCATGTAAGAAAATGTATATTTTTATTTATTTTTACATTTTAGCCTTTTGCTATTTATTTCGAGAGTGTGGATCTTTGAGGGGGGGGAAAGCAACTGCATAATAATAATTAAACTGTTCTGAATTAGTAGAGAACATATATTAATGCTATTATATTAAAGTTACTAGTTTTATCTATCCTGTATAAATAGGAACATAAAAATTTCTTTTAAGTTATCAGTAGACATTTAAAAGAAATATCCAGAATCTTTGGCTGAAATATTTCCAGTGCATATTCTCTTTCTGAGAATATATTTATTGGCTTTTCTCTTAGCAGACAGTAAGTCTTACTTGCTAAGAAAAGGATTGATTCCATATACCCAGAAACACGTACATTTGTTCCTTCAAGAACATGAAGGAATAATCTTTTGTCTTCTAACGCTATTCTATATTACAGTCTTGAAAATAGGGACTACTGTTAAGCTCTTAATGCTCCAGATGATTATATGAAGGCATCTTTTACTAGCTATTCAGGACGTTACTTTCTTTCAGTACGAACTGGAAATATATACGTAAATTGTGATGAAATATGCTTGCGTTCTTAGATAGAATAGTACATATACATTTGTTATGTACCTTTGCCAGAGAATATTAAGATAGAAGGAATATAATCATCTTTTTGAAAGAAAAGACTTTAGGCTACCCTGTAAATAAGTTAGTATAGCTGAATCATTGAAATCCTATTGAAATAATAGTGTCAGCTAATGACAATTTTTCTGTGTCTAATCATATGAGAAACAGTGCTCAGGTACTGACATAACTAGGCCTTAAGGTCCTTTCATGTATGAACCGTCCTACTACACAAAGACAATTATTATCAGTCAAAATAAATTACTAAAACTGGACTTTTTTCATCTTCTATTCTAAATTATCAGATTTAAATGGTTAAATAATATATCCCCACCCATACTCTTTTTTCTAAAGATCCTTCGTTAAGTGGGTGCATTAAATAATACTGAGTAATGAGGACTGAGGATTTTTATACCACACGTAATATAAAGTCAATGGGGCTTAGCCAAAATTACTCAAAAAAAAAGAGTCAGATTCCTGAAAACTCATACGGAAGATGGCTCTGTCCCAGTAAATGCAGACTGCAACTGAGTAGGGAATAGAGGCTGAAGGGCGGCCTGAGCTAGTTCAGTAGAGCTACAATGGTCTTCCCACACTCCTATGGGACAAGGGTTACTACAGATGCATACCACCAAACTTCTCTGTGCTCCATAGTTGAGGGTCGACATCATGTACATTCCTTAGGTCTTGAAGCTGCGGGTCGCAGTATTTCTGTGCTACAGGTTTCCATCTCTTAAATTGAGATAACAGTACTGATGTCAAGAGAAATGCATTCAAAACTGCAAGGTGCTCAGGGAAGTCCTGTAATGCTGGCAATATAAGTGGGTTTTATTTTCTTATAATAAAGAAATCCTTTATTGCAATTGCTGCTTCTTTGAATCCTGAGCCACAGTCCATTCCCACCTCATAACAGCAAGTCGGTAGTCTGCTTTTGGCAAAATTGCAAAAGACTGCAATTATCCCATCTTACCAGTCAGCTGGATAACTCTCCCAAATTTCCCTCTCCCTTCTTGGAGGCAGGACACCTAATGAGAGATTCATATCTGATGCTTTCTCTGATGAGTATTCCCCCACCCTCACAGTCTGTGACATACCAGCAAGTAGGGCAAGCAGCTTCCCAGCATGAGCCCCATACATGCCAGGCTGTGGACGGACACTAGCCATTAGTGTTAATTTGATTTTCACTTGTCCAGTTAACCTCTGTATCCAATGAAATAAAATAAATGAGAAAGGGCCACTGGTAATTCATCATGCTATAAGAGATTAAAATAGATGGGTAAGTAAGCCCAGTTAAGTAGCTTACTTAGAAATGAAGGGATTAGAATAATTCATAACATTATAGTACTCTGTCTTTATTATTTGATCATTCAATATCTTCTGCTTCAGAATCCTAAATCCCAGGAGCCTGTTACGCTGGATTTTCTCGATGCTGAATTGGAAAATGATATTAAAGTTGAGGTGAGATTACCTGGTTTCTTAGTACCTGTTGCTGCTTGTATTTCACTGTATAATAATTGAAAAACAATAAATGTTCTAGATTTTGAATGGGAATCTATTTCACTATAAATTTCTATTTTAAATTTGTCAAGATAATGACTTTATAGACAGATGAAGTTATAATGAAACAAATTGAGAACCAGTATTATTCATAGGCAAGGGCAATGCATTATATTCTTCTCATTTTGAAAGACACCATAATTGCTATTTAAATATATATAAATATATAATTCTTCTTCATTAAGAAGCAATTCCTGGGGAGGGGGCTTGTAAGTTTTTCAGAACAAAACAATTTTTAATAGGATAGTAATATATTACCTGAAATATTTTAAAAGTATTTCCCTGTCTCTTACTAATGCAAGCTTATTGCTTTGGCAAGAGAGAGAATTGAGAAATAGTTAAGTGTTGTTAACAAATTAAATCCTCGGTATATTTTTGAGTTACTAATTTTGTAATACATTCAGAAATCAGAATTTTTAAAAAGAGTTTGTTAGTTTTGTGAAATAAAATGGAGGCTTTTTAAACATTTTACATTTTTTTAACATATTTTTTCACTTTGTTTGAAATTGTTCTTTCATAATGACACTATTGGTATCTGTAAATTACGCCTTAAGTTTCTTTGAAACTCCTGCTTTGGAGAGGAATTGCTCTTGGACTGGTATAAAAATGGTTTTGTGAATCACTGCTGCTACCAGAATCACACAGATGTTCTGGGAAGCATGAAAAATGCTACACAAAACTCCTCCTCATCCACACAGAATGCACACTCTCTCTAGTGCCTAGCATCAAGGGGTTTTATGGGATGGTCTTGCTATGCAAAGGATACCAGAATTGTTGCTTTATAACTCTACTGATTGAGTATATATTTGGATAAAGCAACTTCTAATTAGAAAAATCTGAAAATTGTAAACTTAACTCTTTGTTTTTAAGAGCTACAACTTTCATATGCATTACCATTTTCTGTGTTTGTATGAAATACTTTGAATCACTGAAACAATTACTCATGTTACATGCAACACCTAGTTCTTTTTTTTTTTTTTCCTTTTCTTGCCAATAGATTCGGAAAAAAATGATAGATGGAGAAAGTGGAGAAAAAACATTTGAAACATTGGTCAAGTCCCAAGATGAGGTAAGATAGGAACACAGGCAATTACATTTACAGGAACAAACAAAACCAGAAAAATACTGTGAAATGGTGAAAAGATGTTCATTTTGTAATGTCAGTTTGTATCATTTTTCCCTCTAGATTTGCTAGTTTTACTGGCTTATAGTAAAAGAAATTATGTACTTATGAAAAGAAGAGTTGTTTTGTTGCTTGGTTTCTTTGGTGCATCATTAATCAGGCAGTTGTTGATGAGGTCTTACACTCTGTTCACCAGGAAATGGACCCAGCCTACTTCTGTGTATGAATCCCAAAACAAAATACTTAATTTGCTTGTGGAGATGTGTGAGGAGGGGTTTGGTAGTTTATATTGTGGTTGAATGGGAATAAAGTAGTGAGAAAAAAATATAACATTTACATGCCATAAATGAAGACTATTTGGGATAAGCAAGTTCATCTTACAGTTACATTATGTACTTGTGCTTTCTGAACAGCTTGTTGAGTTCTTTATTTTCTTGTCCAAAACGCTCATTCCTGATAAAGATTGCTACTGGTTTCTCTAATAAGACAGATATGAGGAAACACTCAAATTTTATATGGATCGTTACATGTATGCTCTACTTCTTGGGGACCTTAATGAGAAGAAATCATGACTGGTGTGCCAAAGGAGCAGTTCTGGCCAGAGTATGCCCCACAGTTACAGTTCTACAACAGCTTTTTGAAACTGTTTTACTCTGAATGTGAACCAGATTGAAGAGAGCTAATTTAATGACTTAGCAGAAGAACATGAAGCAAATATAACATCAAGCAGACACCACACAACCCTTATATATATGAGCACACCATAACAATACTCAGCAGAATTGCTTGGGAGAGTGCAGTTAATTTTTCATGTGTAGTATCAGCTGCCCTCTCCTGTTGATCTCCTGTAACTTTGCTATCTCCAATGGCTCTGCTGTTTGTACTTAAATGGCAGAATGTTCCAGTGAAAAGTTCCTCCTTCTCACAAGGCATATGCTACAGAATCTAATCAAGTTAAACTGATAGGAAATCAGGTCTCAGAGTTTAGGCAGTTTTTATTCTGTTAAAAACAGCACATTCCTTCCTTATATTCCATTCAATGTCTAATAAATGGTAGCAACTTTTAAACTCTGCTTTAAATTTTGGCCAAATTACACCAAGTGATGCCCAATACTGAGCAGTTCCTATTACCAGTCCTCTGACTCAATTCTGCATTGTGGGAAGATTCCTATATACTTATTCTCATTTTGATACAGAAAAAAGTATTTCATAGTCCAAGTCTATTTTTGATTAAACTTGGTAGAAACTTCCTAGTATTTGTAGGTGAAAATCGGTGGCAATGCACAGGTTGTCTTTGCTGGATGAGGCTGAAAATGGAGCTGCATTTTCTGAAACATGTCTTGATCATTCATCCATGCTGTGATTTCACAATGTCAAGTTCACGGTCACTTGGTTCCACAGCAGACCTTTCAGAACATACTTAGAATCATAGAATCATAGAATAGTTTGGGTTGGAAGGAACTGTTAAAGGTCATCTAGTCCAACCCCCCCTGCAATGGGCAGGGACATCTTCAACTAGATCAGGTTGCTCAGAGCCCTGTCCAACCTGACCTAGAAGGTTTCCAGGTATGGGGCATCTACCACCTCTCTGGGCAACCTGTTCCAGTCTTTCACCACCCTCATTGTAAAAAATTTCTTCCTTCTATCTAGTCTAAATCTATCCTCTTTTAGTTTAAAACTATTGCCCCTTGTCCTATCGCATCAGGCCTTACTAAAAAGTCTGTCCCCATCTTTCTTATAAGCCCCCTTTACGTACTGAAAGGCTGCAATAAGGTCCTCCCAGAGCCTTCTCTTCTCCAGGCTGAACAACCCCAACTCTCTCAGCCTTTCCTCATAGCAGAAGTGCTCCATCCCTCTGATCATTTTTGTGGCCCTCCTCTGGACCCATTCCAACAGGTCCATGTCTTTCCTGTACCAAGGACTCTATAGAGTTGGACATCTCATGACCATTCCTCAGCCTCTTAGTATCTGCACAGGATTTGACAAAGCATGCTGCTTCTGATAGTGTAATTTAAAAGGAGTGCAAAGGGGGACGGGAGGCTATTCTCAAAATCTTCACAACTGTGCAAATCCATCAGAGGCATTTTTTTATTCCTGAGCTATGGGTGTTATTGAGAAGGTCAGTGGCTTTACTTGCATGTGTGTCCATCTGGAGACAGATTAAAATCTGTATATTCATTCAACTCCCCGCTAACAAGATTGTGACTTTGTTGCAGAAAGGTTGTCATGGTATTTTATTATATTGCAGAGTCTAGGGAATTTGACTCAGTGTTGAGCGCTGTCTTCCTTCTGATGCCCTATTCAGAGAGTGCAGAACCTCACAGATTCTCTTCTTGAGCACAGAACCTCAGCTTCAGTGGGGGCAGACAAATGTAACTGTAGATGATCTTAGCTGAAAGATGATGACGACGATGATCATGTAATCATGTAGGCAGCAGAGTCATACTTTCCTACTTTAGTCTCTATGAAGGATGTCAACTTAACTCAAGCCTTATACACTTACATTGTTCAGGTGCAAAGCGTGCCTGTAAGTTGTGGTCCTTGAACATGTGGAGTCCCATGATCTCATTAAAAGTGCCCACGCTCCTTCTCTGTATCTGACTTCATGCTGCCTTTCACCCCCTCCCATGTTCTTCTAAAGCAGAGACCTGCACCAGCAGCCCCCTTGCGTTCTGCCAGGACTGTCTTCTGTGCTTTCTCACATTAAGGCCCCCCCCGCCACCCAGCCCTCCTGGGTAAGGCTATACAATGCTGCTTTACAATCTACAGGGAAATCCTGCTGCGTGAAAGAAATGTGCATTTTTTTGAATGGTTCCACTGTTGGAGGACAGTGAATGAATAGGGCCTTCCTGGGGCAGGGAGGATAAGCCCCATCTGATGTCAGTTCTGCCACCTCAGCTGTGTCAGGAGCCCGTCCTACCTAGGAAGCCACCAGCCTGTCCCACTGGTCTGAAGGGAGGCTGGCTCACTCCTGACCCACTGTTGGAGAGTCCGAAGTCCTGCTGGCATCTGTGTTGGAGATAAGCTGCTCCTGAAGGGAGGGACTCACTAGAACATTTTCAGACTTGCGTTGTTTTTTTTAAGGAATGCCTTTCCGCCTATGGGTGAAAAGGGCTCTGTGTAGGTGGTTAGAAAAGGGAGGATTACAAGGTTACAAAAATACAATAACACCGTTGGGGTTATACAAGAAATTGAAGAGATCTCAGGCTGTGCATGCATTTCTCAGGCTGTGTTGTAAAAAAGACCTGAAACAATTGGTCCTGCAACTGTTTGCCCAAAGAAGGAGGGAGAGTAAACATTTACGCTTGCAAATGCTGGAGTCAGCTACAGCATCAAGGCAGGGGTAGGGGGAGAATGTGATGTCCCTGAGTGCATGAGAATGTGTCAGGTATGCACGGCCCAGACCACAATCTGTATTTGACCAGAATATCCCAAGCCTTTTGATCCCAGGTGCTTCAAGTGCCCAAAGAAATGAATTTCCCTCACCTTTCCTTGCGTCATGGCCCAAGATTTCTTCCTCTACTTGGACCTCTCTGAGAGAAGAAGGGAGCAGCCAGAGATCGCTGGCAATGATGACTGCTTCAAGCCATTGCCCCTTCCCAGCTCCAGGCTGCTAGGGCCAGAATAAAGCTGCTTCAGACCATGGGCTATGCATAAGCCATACATCACTTAGGACTTGATAGCTTCATATATTTTCTTATAAAAAGGGTTGATGTGGTCAGTTGCTCTGAACTGACAGTTGCAGTCTTGAGGCTTAAAATTGATGTCCTTTTTGTTTTGCTTTTTGGTTTAAGTTTGCATTGCTTTCCTTTTGTATTGCAGCTGGTCCCAGCAGTGTCTTGGGAGATGACCTCATAATACAGCATAGACTCATAGCAAGCGTGGGTGGGGTGCACTGGAGTCTCCCAAGGCCTCAGGGGCTTTCCAGCTAACAGAGAAGATGCCATAGGAACAAAAGCATTGCTACATTTGGGCAGCCAGGGTGGGCAGTAGTGAAAACTCAAGGGTCACAAAAGCTGCAGTAACATGTAGGTTCTTTGGCAGTGACCACCTGGTCTCAGACCGCTCAGTAATGAAGTAGACAAAGGTAAATGGGAGCAGACATATGAGGACTTGTGGTCTCATGGATTATCTTTGAAGGGAGATTTCAGCCAGTTTGCTTTCAAGCATGTTCACAGTGCTAGCGGCAACAGGATTTAATATAAGCCCAGTTCTTCTCTTCCTTCCCTCCCACCTTGGGCACTACTTTTCTCTTGCCGTGTACATGGTGTGTGACCCATGGCACTGTGCCTGACCTGGAGGGGCTGCCAGCACTAGGTTCGAGTGTCTGCTCATTCTTGAGCTGAAGTAGTAGTATAGGCACATTATTAAATATAAATAGGCTTGGATAGGAATCTCCTCAGCCATCTTTTTACCTTAAATATAAAATATATCAGGGCATTAGATGCTGATACATGCATCTTTTTTTCTTTAGTATTTTTTCCTTTTTTCTTCTTTTTTTTTTTTCTTTTTTCTTCTTTTTTTCTTTGTCTTTCCAAAATGACTATTAAATTATTTACACTGTCATGCTGTGCTGAAAGCTGCAGCCAGGTAATGGGAAGGTTTCAAATCATAAATGTCAAAAAAGACACCTCTTTTTCATAACCACGCTCATTTTCACACTTTTGTTTTAGCACAGGGAGAGAAAGAACATAGACGTATACCTGTGGTGCCTTTCACTGCTGTTTGTAATGTTGCAGTGCAACAGCTGCACAGACTTCATTGCTGGCATACTTACAAATGTCTGATTGTAAAATAATAATATGTTGCAGCTGGCATAAACTTGTAGTTTTCAAAGTGGAAAATTGAGTAAAACGATGTCAGCCAGGTGCATTAATGGTTAAATCTATGGGGAACTGTGAGACTGTGTCTATCATGTCATTTTTCATACCAAAAGAAAATGAATGGTAAAGCTTATCCTAATGTATTGTTATTTAAAAATAAACATTTACTTGCATGTTAAATTTTTCACAAATTCAAAAGCCTCCTAATTAGATTAGAAACATATGTAAGTTTAGTATGGGGTGCCTCTACAATGAGGACTACCTGGCTGTGCCTGTAGATATGACTTAAATTTAAATGCATTAGCCAGTGGTATTGTGACCTGAACAGGCAGGCACTGGGTGTTTTTGTTAAAGAGTTACCTACAAAGTCTCTTTATCATTTAGGTTTTTTGTTTTCATAGTTTAAATGCAAAATGGTCCATAAAGGAGATAACATCTTTTATCAAATTTAAATTATATAGAAAAAGGTTTGCATAGTCCTGGCTAATGAATTTAAAAGGGAAAATGATAGTTCATGTTTGTCTGGTTTTGGTTAAATTTGCATTTCATTAATGTTCAATAAAAAGGATATAGGTGATTCTTTTGCACAATATGTTTGTAAAATGTTTAAGGAAAAGAGTTGAAGCTCAACTCATGCTTTTAGCAAAATAATAAATAGAATTCCAACAGATTGGTACTTGATTTTATACTGTATTTCTCAAGAAAAGGGCATGCTTATTGAAGCTTCAGATTTAATAATTTATTTTTTCACCAATATCTCTTTGTAGAGATATATTGATAAAGGAAACAGAACATATACATGGACGGCTGTGAATGGCACTGATTACAGGTAACTCATTTCTGTTCTCTGACTTCTTCTGTGTAGTTAAATGTCCATTTTGTTTATTTTGGTTAATATTTTAGTGTTACATTTTCTATACTAGCTAAGTCAGGACCAGATCGTCTTGCGCCCAGGCCTGTAGGATTTGCTCCTTTACGGCTCAGAATTGTTGCTCTGTCTAAGGACCAGAACCTCAGTCTCTCCTCCAACTCTTCAGATTTATCACTAGGGTATTTCAGTATGCAGGAAAAAATGTTTTTATCATTGATGTTAAGAATCTTACTTTTCCTCCTACTTTCTGTATCACACCATACTTTGATTCTTAATTATACACTTTCTCTTAGATTCCGCCTCTTATTTCATCTTTTCTTTGTATTGTCTCTATGTTCTTGTTTTAATATACATATTAAAAAGGAAGATGCTATATTTTGGTCTAAATAAAAAATGTGACATGTTTTGTGCAAATCTTTTTCAGTCACAGTCATTGCTTATATCATGACTTTGCTAACCTTCATGTCCGATCTCAGGGGCAGGAACCATGCTACTGATTGTCTCCAAAATCCCTATCTATTTGTGACAAATTTTAACTAATTAGCTGTTTTGTATATAAAAATCATATGGTGAATAGCAGCAGGAGCAAATGAAGCAATGGGTAAAAGGACATCCCCCCTTGAATACAATGTCGGTGTGTATATTGTTTCAAACTCATTTAAGCACACAGCTCTGTAACATTAGAAGGAATGTAGAAACTTGACATTATCCAAAACAAGTTAAGGTTTACCAAGTTGCAGAAAAGTTAAACTACTCTAGTTCAAAACTAGATGGTAAAAATATTGAGTCAAATTTTTTCCAAAACAATATTTTTATTGTGGTGAATTACAGTAGTCCTCAGCCAAGCTGATTCCCATTTTTTGTTGTGTTCTGCACAGGTGTACAGCCAAGGAAAATGCAAACGTTAATTTATATGTAAAACCAAACAATCAGTTTTAACAAGAGAATGCAAATGTAGGACTTCAGCTTTTATTCAGCATCCCATTTTTCTGTTGAAATTCATTTATCTTTATACTCTGTAAGAAAAGAAATTTTTTTATCAAACTATACCATCTAGCAATCAGTAAAGAAATACATCTGATTTATATGACTTCTTAATTCTTACTGAGCTCCCTGGCATGAAATACAGCAATAAATCCATGGAGTCGCATTGCAGCAAAGCTATTAAACATAAAATTATAGATTTTAATTAGAAATATCTGCTAGCAGTAACTGTTAATGACAGGTAAACTGCTACTGATTTCCCTAGAGGAGAATTGGTAGAAGGCAATATAATATTGGTAGAAGGCTAAATATTCAGCAATCTCACTTACATTCTGTTTAAATGGCAAATGTATCATTAAAGGTCATCTCATTTATGGCTCAATTGTACAACTTTTTTAATGTTAATTCTGCAGCTATCCATTAGAAACCATTGCAGTTCTACAGTCATGAAATCCGAGTGCAAATATTAAGGATGCGATGTGGCAGGTGATGCTGCCTCTTTAATGATTACTCGTACCTCCCGTCTTTTGCATAACTTTTTAGAACTGAACTCTTCTACACATGTATTGAATTTAGTTGCAAAAAGAAGCCCTATAGGTTTTGAACAAAAATAAATATAAACTAAAAGAAAGTACATTGCAAATGCTTTGCAAATCTTAAAATGTTATTACAAAATTATGTTCAAAGGTTTTTAGTGGTGACTGCATGATTCAAGAAAATATTTTTCATCTTGAACATAATATGAATTCAAGTATTGCCAGATACATTTCCTAATGAATACCAATAGTTGTTTTATTAGTAAAAGGAGACTCTGTCATTATATGATGCATGCAAATCAGTGCAGTACTACATGCTGGTTTTTACAGTCAATGATCATTTTGACATGTGTTGCATTGGGATGCTAAATGTGTTAGAGGAAGATACGAGAAATCATGTATTTTATTATTTGCAATTATTTGGAAAGTCCTTGCTTATCCATTAAAAAGTGTATTTATGCTCAGATGCATAAATAAGAATAAAAATAAACACAGGGAACTTCAAGACTGGCATGAACCTTCTTGTCTCTGTTACAAAGCGTGAGACTGGTGTGGCACTATATGACTATCTTGTCTCATGATGATCCAGACCGCAAACTTGTTAATTGCTTTCAAAACACATAGAAGCTGAAACTGGAAAACTGATGCAAATAACATAATTGCTTTACTTGTTTCATTTCTATTGCAGTTTGGCATTGGTGTTACCATCATACAGCTTTTATTATATTAAAGCCAAAATAGAAGAACCAATAACTCAAGCCAGCTGTAAGTACTATGAAGGTTCCCTGGTTTTGTCTAGTATTGCCAGGTCTCAGATTCGCTTAAAAAAGCAATGTTTAAAATTCATAAATTTTGTGGAATTCACTGATGTTATCATGATGTACCCAAAATCTGCAGCAATGATTCTAACCCATTGTAACATCCAAGGTACAAGAAATATTCTATGAAGATAGAATATGTGCAGGTACCCCAGTTCCACTGACAATCCCTTCCCCCTTGCTCTGTTCCTATAGAATCATTGCTTTGTGTATCCTCTGTTGCTGTCATTTTAAGGGTCTGGATACTAATTTTTTCATTCTATTAGCTAAATATCATGAAATAGACTACAATAGTAAAGCCTTTTTTTTAATTTTTACAGTAGCTACAGTACATATTTAGCAAATTACCTCTACTGCCTGTAGAAATAGACTAACATGAAAGCGCTGTTTGGTTTGGCTTGCAGCTAGGTTTTTACTTTGCGCTTTACAAATAGTTTTGGTGGATGTTTGTAATGTATTTTTGGATTAGACTAATTTCAAGCCATTTACAGATTCTGGAGAGATAATTGGAAATGGTACTTGTGAGTATTCAAAAGCTTTTTGTTTATTAGGTGTAGCTTAACTGTAATCTAGATGGTAGACAAAATAGAACCCATCATATCCTTTTAACTTTATCCAAGTGTTACGGTAAACTTGAACAAATGTGCAGTTAACAGAAAGTCAGAAAAGCACTATAAATCTCTCTGACAGGCAGAGATACTGTTAGTTTAGAAAAAACTTGATTAGCGCTAAATCACTGTCCTCTACCATCACCTCCTGTATATGAAGTAGAATATGGCAAGTTTTTAAAAAACAGTGATTTATTTTGTAACTTTATCAAATAGTAAGTAGTTTAAAATTAAAGTTTTAGTGAGTGAATATGGTTCTCTTGATGGATTAGATCATCTGGTTCTGCACTTATATCAATATAACCTGCAAAGCAGACCCTTGAAATATCCACAGTATATAGAAGGTACTTCAGAAATAATTGAGAAGGACATATTCTTCAGTCTTCAAAGGTGTTTGTCTTTTTTCCAGACTACAACTGTATGTAAATTGAACCTTTGATCTATCTATGCACAATATTTTTATTCAAGGGGCTGTTTGAATAAAATATTGGTTTGTGACCCCTTTGCTTTACCCTGTTTTTTTTCTGTTTCCCTGCTTTCTCTTTCTGATGGATAGTGGCAATCAAAAAGGGCAAGTATATTCTTGTTGCTCAGTTTCCTTCTGTTTACTGCAGTTGATATTTTTCACTTATATTCCTGTTCCTACTGGATATTCTCCTCTGTATTCCTCATCTCAGGATTTTTCCCATGATCATGTGGTACCATAGCAATAGAAAGGAAAAAAGAGATGTGAAGTGTTCTTCTGTTTTCATGCACATTTCAATACGCTGCTAATCTCTAATCCTTCTTTGTCTGGTCCTATTAGTGTTCAGTGACACCAGCTATTAAAGCCATTATTTTCAGCAGCATTTAAAGTGATGCTTATATGGATACGTTTTTAAACTTTATTGCAGAACATACTAGAAGCATTTTCCTTCATGTTCTAACAACAAGGTGTCCCAAATATTTCTTTGTATCAGTTTGTAATTCTAATGAAAACACCTCATGTGTTTTCATGTTGTCATGCTAATGAAACGTCTTCTCTAAGTAAGTTTTAGATTTGATATTGTTGCCAGGTGTATGTTGTATATAATAATCAAGTAATTTCTTCCTGTACTGTGAAATACTGATAAGTATACAGTATATTAGTGGGACAGTGTCTTGACATAAACATTTCTTTCTCAATTCATGGATGCATGGAAAAGCTAGTCAAATATTTTGAGAAGAAAAATGATGGCCAAAAGCTCAGTTCACTTACTTGATGTTTGCTCTTCATCTCTGTAGATTCAGAAACACTGAAGCTTGATCATTTTGATGAAGCTGGCTATACGTTTATAGCACCAAGGTTGGTTCATTTCACAGTAAAAAGTATTATTTCAGCAGTATATAGGCATTTGATCAGATTAATGACTTTTATGAAATACAGACTTGACCAATAAAGTTCATTTTGGTAAAAAATCCTAAGTAAAAGCACAGTTATTAAATTCATGTTTTACAAGATCAATCCCTTCTTGCTAGAGTGTAAATAACATCTTCAGACTCTGATTCCTTTTATATTAATCAGAGGGCTGTAAAATCTGACATGTCATCATTTATTGATGTTTTTAATGGAAATCTTATAAACATCTGTTCATTTCTTGTGGCCATGACTTTTAAGATTTTTACAACGTTGTACCTTAGCTTCTCATTTGTAAAATAAGTACTATAATACATATCTTGAGATGTTTTCCAACTCCAAGATAAAGTATTTCAAAGCTCTCTATCACTTAAGGATGAATTAATTTTTGATTCATTGAACAAAAAATGATTGAGTCATTGAAAATTGGTCAAATAAGTTCATTAGTTCCCTGTTTTTTCGTGTGAAATTGTGTAGCCCTTGTTGCCCTTGTAAATATGTGTTTGCAAGGGAAACATGGTATGACAAATAGTTCTTAAAAATCAAGTTCCTTTGAAAGATAGTTATGATAAATAAAGGAAATGCTGTACCACCAAGATCAGTTAGGAATTGTTGCAGTTCTTATTTATCTTATAAATTTCTGTATCCTTTTAAATTTCAATGAATAGATTGGTTTCAATGAATGGATTGATACGTATGTAAAACATAGTCTTCTACCTTCAAATGTATTCTGAGCTTAATTGTTTAATTTTTCTGAAGGACTGAAGTTACTGATAATCAATTGTACCAATTAGCAGTTTCCAGTAAGTCCCTAGTTGTTAGGCTGATCTACGTAAATAAAGCCTGTGTGATATGGAGCTCTGTTTAAATGTGAATGTTTGTATAGTAAGGCAAATTCTGCCTGTAGTCTTTCAGGATCATGGTAAAGTAGGTAAAGGGTAATAGGATAGCTTATTCATATGAAATACTTGAACAGACTTCTTTTGTTCCTAAAATTAATTTAATATAAAAAGCTCTTTTAAAAAGAGAGCTCCATGCTTTACTGCTGAATACTCTTTGCATTTTAATTAAAGTTGTGTAATGCCACTCACCATCTAATATTTGCCTTCAAAATGCCCAGTGACTTTTATTGTGCTTGCTTCTATTCAGTGAATTGCCCAATGATATATTGCTTTATTTTATTACATTATGTAAAGGACAGTAGTTTACCGTTTATCTGTTTTGCATATGTCAAAACAAAGAGTGTTTATATGCTTATGTGCTGTGTACATTGCCTTTAAGACTTCTCAGAGGATAGGACCTTATCCCATAAATCTGGCCTTAGTTGAGCATGAAGTGACTATGTTTTAAAGAGCAGTCCAGGTACTTTCCAGTACAGTTTAACCCAGGAGCAGTGTTAAGTTCACTGGGAATTTTCTCGTTTAGTTTACAGACTCTATGATCACCTAATTTCATGGCCTACACTAGTCCTGAGTGCTTTTTCTGGGAATCTATGCCCTATCTCATACATGGAGTTTTGTTATAATTCAGATTTGGACAGGCACTTGAACAGTTTATTTCCTGTAGATGCCTGAAATATTCAATATGGTCAACATTCAATATTGACCATGGTAGTCAATTGACGTAGTAGTGCCAGCCACCTCATTGTAGTTGCACAATCCTGCTTGGACTTTAAAAATGCTGAGCCATATTTGTCTGCTTTAGTAGCAAAGAAAACAAATGAGAAGACTGATGTTTTGTTGTTTTTCAGAGAGTACTGTAATGATGTAAAAAAATCAGAAAACAACACTGAATTTCTATTAAATTTCAATGAATTTATTGACAGAAATACTCCAAGCAGTCCATCATGTAAGTATTCTCAATTCACTGAAATGTTTCCTTAGGAAAATACTTATTCATAAATGCAGATTAGTCAGAATGACAGCTTTCTGTGCCCAAATCATGTGGTTTTGGTTTTTATCTTCAGTGATTTTTTTTTAGTAGAAATACATCTAGTGTTGGTGTTTTCTCCCCAAGGTAGAGATTATAAAATTAGTTTGCAGTTATCTGGGTTTATTTGAGGAAGTTTGCAGGGCATTATGCATCAAGTGTTTTCCACACTTCCTCTCAGCATTATGTTCTAGCAGCAAGTAACTACCAGTTAGTTTTAATACACACCAAATATTTTGAATTTATAGTTTTTTTCTCTTGAGCATATCAGCCAAAGTAAGTCCCAAATAGACTTTAAAATCTTGTAATGAAATCTTCACTCTGCTTTCTTATCAGCTTATATAAACCAAAGTAAGTATAGAAAAGGAGCTGAGAACCAAAATAACCAATAACCAGAATAAAAGATGAGGAAGTTCTCTTGCTGGTTCACAAATGGCTAAAGAGATCTCGCTTGGGCTTGAGTTGTTTAAGACCACAGATTCATGTAACTGCTGCAGTGGTGAGCACTGCGCTTTGGGGAGATATTCACATTTTCAAATTGGGCCTTAAACTCTATTTAGAATAAATGAGGAGTTACGCTCTTGAACGAGCCATCAGTAATGCATTAAAGTCTTGTTCTCATGAAAAATTCAATGTTGGGATTTGTTTGTTTATGCATACAAGTCTGTTTAGCATCATTAATAATTTATAAACAGTTGGAATAAACTTTTTTTTTTTTTTTGTCTTGCATTCCCCGAGTCTTTTTAACATGTTGCTGTCAGGGATCACTGATCAATTTGATAAGAATCTCTCTGCTAGACCATGTAACTGAAGAAATGTGCACTTAGATATGAGATCTTCTCACAAAAGGCTATTTTTCTGTGCTTGTGTGGATGTTTGTTGTTGTTTTTAATAGAGTAATCTTATTCATTGACGCATTGCTGACCGAGTGAAATTTTTCTTCGGTACCTTGACTCAATCTTGGAAATGAAAGCATTTACCTCAAATGATTAAACCAGTTAATAAATGAAAATTCCAGTTTAATATTCACTAGTTATATAAATGAATATTGAGGACACATTTAGTGATATTCTAGTATACACTAGAGCTTAGTAAGTAATTATGCCAAAAGTGTTATCAAATTATTGCTATATTTCATTTTGGAATCCACAACAAAATTCACTTTTTTCCTTCTTTTTTCTGATAATTAAGTTATTTTAAAAATAGTCTCCTGAATAAGTAAACAGTGTTGACTGAAGGAGACAATGGCTATGGAAATTATCTCAGCTAAAAATGTTTTTCAAAAGGAATAACTAGTAAAATCCCCAAATTGAAATAACCTATATACTAGAAGTTTAATGCCTGTTATATTTTTACTTGCCCCATCCAACTTTAACTTGTTAGAAGTTAGCCAGGAAGTTAGCCAACTACTTCTGTTGTTCCTAAGGGGACAGTAAAGAACAATTCACCCTACTTGTTTTCAGCATCTGCTTTATGTAAGTAAGTCGCACTTTGTGGAGGTGCATGCAGTACAAGGGGGTCCTAAACAAAAAAAAATGCATCCAGTAAAATATTAGGAGTCTATATTAGCAGAGATAAATATCACTCTGAGAGACGTATTTTGATATTTATATTCAGACAGAATATCAATTTAATTTCTAAGAAAATGTGGATGCAGCAAGGCCATTCAGATTTCATCCTGTGAGCTTTTGTCTTTACTTCCAGCTAAAGAACTATTTTTAAAACAGTACCCTAACTTATGTTAGATACTATACCATGACCGTGTGCATGCAAATAGGGAAGGTGAGTCTGTGGCCGTCAATGTAGTTTAACAGGTTTATCCAGCTAAGCCATGTAAATGTATCTAATGAGAATTAAATTAATGTGTTAAGATTATATGAGACAGTGCTTCCTGCTGGTGACTCAGAGCTGCCGGCTCTGTGCGTAGCATGCTCACACATTCAGGCTTCAGTGGATTTTATGAAAAAGCCTTTTTGCTAAAGCTTACGAAGCCTTTCGATACCCAAATACATGTCCCTATTGATCGGTTCTGTGAAAACAGGTTGAGGTAGGGCATTTTTTTAAAAAAGGTCAATATGAGTTTTCTGGAATCTGAGACTTAGGGTGAAGCACAGAGCATGTCATGGCTCTCTATGGAGCAAAACTGAAGAAAAGGTGGGGGTTTTATTTATATTTTTCCCCAGAAGGAGTTTTCAGTCTCCTCAGCAAGGCTGAGCGGCTGGGGTTTGGCAGAATTCAGAGCTGTACGTTCCAGTCATAGTTCTAACACTGATTTACTGTGTGACAATGAAGACCAAGAGCCAGATTTTCCCTTTACATTATTCAGCTCCAATTTAGCCTTGTTTTATTTTCCACAGTGGTAAAATCTGTATTAAAGTGTGCGCTTACTTCTGTTGATCATTCTTAGAACTTTCTCTTAGAAAGTGGTACTGAAGAAGATGCTTGAGAAGCACTGACTCCAAACCATCTTTTCAAAAATATTTAAAAATGACATATCCATCTAAGCTACTAATTCAAAATTAGTTTATTTCCCTGTACCCATTTTCAGATGGCAAATAGGTTTTTTTGAGAGGCTGAGACTTAACTGATAAATGTTATGTATATGTATGTTGTAGTTGAATTATGTATATAAATATAAATATAATTTATATTTATATACATATATACATATAAATAGCATATATATATATTAATATATATAAATATATATATATTGTAGTTGAATTATCTCCATTTTTGTAGCATGTAAGAGTAAGTATAACTAAGAATTAAGTGTTGTTTGATTGCATCACCTGAGATAAAAAGTGTTTGAATGAAAACCTGCTTTAAAAATAGGTTAATTTCCAGATTTAACGTAGGGCCTTCACAAAGCTGGGGCCTGTACCCTTATCACCTTGCTTATTCCTATGACACAAGGACAGGTTTTTTAGGATGCAATGAAGAAAAAGCTTAAGTCAAGTCAACAGTTCCAAAGAAGTTTATTTAACAGTAAGTACTTGACATAATTTGAAGTTAAACAGTATGTCTAATAGAAATACCCCAATTTTTGGGGCCGTAACATCTTGGCAACTCAGAATTTCATTTTTGCCATTTAATGAAACTCCATGTCATTTGGTTTCAGATGACTGTCTTAACTCTTTTTGATAGGTAATACTGATATGGTCATTAGAGTTTTGCTGGATGCAGGATTTACAAATGAACTTGCCCAAAATTATTGGAGTAAACTGTCTCTGTAAGTACTGTTTTTATTGACCGTGATTTTTCAAAGTTTGATAATAAAATAATATACGTGTGTGTATATACAGATATGTTAATGTTTACACAGGATAGATATTTAATTCGCAGTTAAGCACTGAAATGGCAACCCTTGACATAGGAACTTGTGAGAACTTCAGTCAGTTTTCATTTTAAATCTTATTTTTGTTTACAGTGATGGAGTTGTTGCACAATTTGTTGTTACGGATGGTGGAATTACCAGAGTGTTCCCAAAAAGGTAACAATTATTATAAAATAGTATAATATGATAATTTTGAAACCTGAAAGGTGGAATGTTAAATAATGGATTTATTGAACGAAAAACAACTTCACCTACAGTCTAATCTGTACTGATAACTATGAAATGAATGTCTTGTTTTTCTTTGATTTTACCTGTGTCACTGCTTGAAACTGATCCGTAGCATTATTTCCATAGCAGGTCCTTGTAAACAAAGTTTTTAATCAGTGTGGAGTAGCAGTAGAAGCAGTGGCCTTGCAGTAGTAGTGGGGCCGTGCTAATCCCTAATTACTCCTAAGCACTCATTTGTTTGGCAGACTGGCAGGCTGCAAATACTGTAAAGCAGTAGGCAATTTTTTTTTAGACTAGTAAAAGCAGACCAAATGGTCCAGGGACTTCAAGAGAGACAAATGTATCACTACCAGAGGGGAAAAAGGGAATGTGAAAGTGGTCATATAATAAACTAGACACCCCCATCAGTGACTGGGAATAGTGAGGGCACCAGTACAGATATACTGGTAAACAGCAAATTTATCCATTTTCTTAGTTTATTCTATGTTTCCCCAAAGTGGGAAAATAGCAATGAATTTTACTCCCAAAATTAGTTTCTTTTCTGTTTTGGTGTTATTAATGATATAAAATCTTTTGGGATGATTTCTCAAAAGATAGCATATGCTATAAAGGTTTGTTTATATTTTGTTGTAAGTAGTGTTGCAGTTATATTTGTCTCAGTATATCTAAAGATGATGAGACAAGATCTGTGTTGTTCCAAGAATACTATTTTTTTTTCAAAGTTTTTTTAATAATTACACCTGGCAGTTAACCAGTGAAAGCTGGCAAAGTCTGAGCACTGTATGAATGATTGTCACATTATTTCCAACTGTGAAACATTAAAAAAAAAACCAAAACCTGCAGCATGGCTTTAATGAGACTCTAACTGTCTTTTTCTGATTACTATTTTTTTTGTGATTAGGGCAGGAGAAGATTGGTTGGAAAATGCTGAAACATATGAAGTCAGCTTCTATAAACGGAGTTTAGATAATGACAACTATATTTTCACAGCTCCGTACTACAACAGTAAGTCATCACTGTTTTGAAATATCAGAGCTAGCTGGTCCAATATAAGTGTGCTTGTGGAAGTTTCCCATAGCAGTTGAGGTCACTGACAAGGGATGCAAGCAGGACACTTCATAACAAAAAAAAATCTTGGGATGTCACCTATTATTAAGGAAAAGGTAGCTCTGAGGGCACTAAACAAGGGACATCATAATTTCTCATCGACTCTGGTGGCCCTGTAGGTTCAGAATTAACAAAGCTGAAAACATGCAGAGTACTGGTGTTCATTTCTTATACTGAAACACTGTTTTACAGAGCTGCTTTGGCAGAATTATTTTAAAAGGAAGTGAAAGAAAATTGCACCCGGGACAATAACACTACCTAAAAAAGCCTTATTTGAGCTGAGTTCTGTATACTTTCTCAGCACCAAACCTAACTTGGGGGAGCAGGTATAAGGATCCAGAGTCCACAACTCTGTCCACTGCACCGCTGATTAATTTAAACTTTGCTTTCAAATTCTATTTCACATTGCTGTTGTTCACCAAAACCAGTTTGTCTGAAATACTGTGATATTTAAAACCTATACATGCACAATAGTAAGTGCTTGTTACTGCTGTGAGCGGCATTAACCTTGCCAAGCTAAAAGCAGATGCTACCGCAAATGGCATACTCCTCTCTTAAACATATGGGATCTTTTACTGCTGTTATTTCATACTTATTTATTGCGTCTTTTCTCTATAAAATATTAACAAGGTAATTAACTAAATTCCCTGAAGCCTTTGTTGTTCCTCAAAGAGCTCCAGGGAATGTACTTTTAACTTGCTTTTTCTTACTAAGCAGTGTTGAAAACAGGCTGAAGTCCGTCAGAGAAGTAATTGTTGGTTAGTGAGTGGTGTCAGTATACCCTGCATTGAAAAATACACAGACGACAGCAGGATAAAATCTTTGGCTCTGATCCTGGTTTTAACAGAGCTGCTCACATGTGTAAAGCTATTCATGGCTCTGTTTGCAGAAAAAAAAAAGGCTACGGTAACTTTATGAAGCAGTGAAACTGTGTACAAAAAGTGAATGAAGAAAAGTAAACAAAAGCATTCCTTAGTCATCCAGATGTTGGTGATCTGAGCTATTACAGGTGATAAATGCATTGTATAGCTGGGCCAGTGCTTTTGAATAGGATTTTTTTAATCATTCTGGGTATTTGAATAACCATTAATTTCAGTTTCAGAGGAAGACGCTTTTATATCACCCTAACATTGGTTTTGTTTTTTTTTTTCCCCCTTCTATACTCTCAGAAAGTGGTGCCAATAGCTATGAAACAGGTATTATGGTAAGCAAGGCTGTGGAAATAACAATTAATGGGAAGCTTCTGAAACCAGCAGGTAAGACAGAGTGGTGCTGCAACTCTAAATACAGTAGTTATTTGGTTGTTGCTCAACAGTGAATTAGAAATTTAATTGAGATTTCAAAGGAACTTCACTTTATATAACATTCTTTTCTCTGAGACTGTTTTAATCTTGCTAGTGGAAGTCAAGCCAAAGATTTGGTTGTGTTTGAGTAAGAGTGCTTAATTTATTAGTCTCATGAAGGATGTTGGTGGTCAGACAACTGAGCAAAACTCATATTTTGTACTTTTCCAGTTTAATAATTCACATGTTATTATAATTTTTCCCTTCTTTTTTTAGGATTCTACAGTTACCTTTTTTTTTTTTCATTTTACTAAAAAAGACTTTCATGTATTTCTTGTTAGTTGTTGGAATAAAAATTGACGCAACCAGCTGGATGGAAAATTTCACAAAAACCACAATCAAGAGCCTGGTAAGCAATTGACCAAGTCTTTTTTGAACTTTATTTGCGTTTCTCAAAGCTTCAGATGCAAATAGGTCTAATAGCTCTTTGTGCCAGAGTCACACTGATGCGTAGTTGCCAAGTAGTTGTGGTATTTAAATCATCCAAATGCACAAAATAAATCTATGTTGAAATAGGCTGTATTTTGTACGTGTCTTGCTTTCATAATTATAGAACATGGATAAAGACAAAGAACAATTACATATTCCAGCCAGTAGGCTCCCTACTAAGGTTATGCTGTATCAGTGAATAAAATCTGCAAAAGAATTGGTGAATCTAGTTTTATTTAATATGAAGGATGGGTAAACAGTGAACAGTAAGGATTTATATTGCAACCAACATCACAGTATTTTAGCAGAACTTAATGAAATAGGTGCTTAACCCTTTCATTCCTTACATCTAATGCTTAGGTGTAAGTGAGAAGGAGGAAAGGCTAAATGGAAGGAAAAACTGAGGAATTAATAGTACATTGGGAGAGGAGAGGCATAAAATGAAGACAATTATAGAACAATTGGATGAGGCAATGTTGCTTGGTTGGTTGTATATTAAGGGAATCAATAACATCGGCCACTGTAGGTTTTAGTTAGAGCTGTAGTTCAATGGGTAGGCAAATGCATTGCCTAAATGTCAGAACAGCTAAGGACAAAAATACATAACTGAAAACGAGAAAGAAAGAGGAGTATCTCAAAATTAATTTGAGATGAATGACTGCAGCATTATCTGGTAGTTGTTTTCTTCAGGACATAATGCAAGGAGACAGTTATGTGTGGATGTATACACATATTGCAAGAAAAAGAGAAAAACATGTTAGTAATCAAAGCCATAAAAGTTAACTGGGGATGGTGGGCTTCCTTTATCACATGGGATTCCCATGCTTTGAGACTGGTGAAGCTTTTCATGGTCACAAAAGATACTTGGCAGCATGTTTTCTGGATTTTCTTTCCATACCCCAAACACATGGAAATGCACATGTTCTTTCTCTTTTACTTTATATTCCAACACTGACATCCTGACAAGTCCCCCAAACTGTTTATCTCTAAAATATTGAGCATCCTTAAAAAGGGAGACGTACCAGAGACTTCGTGAAAACAGTAGAGGTTGTGCTGTTGATAATTACTGAATACGGGTTGTTCACAGAGATATTTGTGATAAACAACACACACTCAAAATTAATTTTGATTAATATACAGATATTGAAAATCAAATCACTTTTTCTTGTCTTGATTGATTAATATCACTGTGAAATACAGTTTCTTTTGAAATATTTTTGGTGAACATTACTGTGCTTCTGTTTTTTAGTGCAACAGTGAAATCTGTGGCTGTGAGCGAAACAGTATGGTAAGAATATGTTCAGTTTGTGAATATCTGGCAGATATTGAAAATTCAGTCATTCTCTCTAGAGTTATCTAAAACATGTATTCTATCATCATTACTTGAGGGTTAATTTTACGGAAAACAGGACTTAGTCATTTATGTCTTGAGAAACAGATGAAGATTAGGAGGGGAGGGGGTGAAAGAGGGTATAAAAGTCAGGTGAACTTGTTGTTCAAGAATGATTGCAATGAGGTTATGAGAACAAGAAGGAAGGAAAAAACCACAACAGAGTAAGAGCAATAGAGAATGATGTAAGAAAAATGTGTGAAAAAGATAATGGTAACTTTCTAAGCAAGAGGCAAATCCTGAGGAAAGGGAATAATAATTAAAAAAAAAAAAGAGGAAAAAAAAATCTAGAAGAAGAGTATCTTAGGGAAGGGTAAATGCAAACTGAAAAGCACCAGAGTACCTGACGTGCCCTTCAACAGTCATTAGTCATCCTCCTTTCCTCTACTCCCAGCCCATTCAGGATGTGGGGATCCCCTAGCTCTGCTAGCACTCAGGAGAGCACAGCTTCAGGGGCTATCACAGTATCAGATTCTGCCATGTGCTTAAAAGCTTTCTCTGCTCAGGTCTTCTGTGAGCTCTTTTGTGGAGTGTGAGGATCATTAAATGGAGGAGTTAGAGCAAAAAGGGTGCTCTGGGAGGTTATCTATTTGGCCCACCTGCTATCTCTCCAGTCTCTGACTGCAAGGCTCTTTTACAAAGTGCAAAGCACAGGGAACCAGTGGGCTTCCCAGTCCTGCACCTGACACCTGGAAGAAACCCACAACAGTCCTTGGCAAGTGAAAATAACCATGACTAGCGAGCTGAGAGTCTGCCCTTACGACTTTACCATTAAAAGCTGTAAATGGAAAAGGACTTTAAGCATGGCTGAAGCACAGGAGAAGTTGTAGTCTCTTATTATGAGTTGAGATTGAATTATAATCAGATTTAATAAGGATATAGCACCCTTAGAGCTAACAAAGTATTGAGCAAATAAGAATTTACAAAACAACTTTTATGAAATTAAGCCACAAATAAGCCTTTGATCTGTAAAAACTTTTATAATACTGATAATGCTACTTATTATAGCTTAATATTCGCCCTTGGCTATGGGGTTGTGATTTAGCCTGAGCCACATAGATTTGAAGATACTTCTGAAGTGTTGAATAAAAAATAGTTTCTTACAGAGTGTTCTCTTGACAAATTCTTCCTGCAAAACATATTTTACTTTCTTATAACAGCATGTGGACTGTGTTATCCTTGATGATGGTGGATTTCTTTTGATGTCAAATCGGGATGAATATACACAACAGGTATGTATATTTTTAAGTATAGCACATGAAACACAATAGGGAGAAGTTTTATGAGAAAAAAATAACATTTCACTCTCAGCTTACCCTGAGTGTATAATCTTTCTTTTATTTATATATATCGTGCCCATCAGAGTTTGAAAGAACAGGTCAGAAATTGAAAAACATTTCTGAATCGCAAAAATTTTGCCATATCAGAAATTCCCATTATTTTGGTAGTCTTTTTCACAGACTTATTTATGGTTCAAGATGCCAGACCTCTACCATGTTGCGTTCTTTGTGCTCTGCCCTTAGGCTGGTAGGCTGCTGATGGACCTATGATGGTGAGGGCAAGTAGTATGGCATCCACACATCTTCTTTCTCATATTCCTCTTATTCTTCCCCAAGCAGAGTGGTCTTATTGATAGTGCATTTACTGTCTAACGAGTTCTTCAAACAAGCTTTTGGGAGGGAAATAGTCAAACAAAGAAATAAATACATAAACAGAAAGACAGATGAGTTGTGTAGAGTAAAAAATAGTGGGGGGAAAAAAGTCAGAACCGTTCTCTTTTTTATGAGAAAAATACTTGGAAATACTTGAACTTATCTCCGTATATTCTCCCTCATCAGATTGGAAGATTCTTTGGTGAAATTGATCCTGGCCTGATGCGAAACCTGATTAACATGTCCCTGTATGCCTTTAACAAGTCGTATGACTATCAATCGGTCTGCGATCCTGAAGAAGAACCAAAGCAAGGAGCTGGCCTTCGTTCTGCATACGTGGTCAGTAGCCCCTTGTGCAGTGACTGACATTCCCTTAAAAGTCTGCAGGTGTTTTTACAAATAACATAATCTCTGTTGGTTTTTTCCCAGCCTACAATAACAGATATTTTGCATCTAGGATGGTGGGCTTCAGCAGCTGCCTGGTAAGTATAAGTGTGTAGGAAATCTGTGTGTCCAAACTAGAATTATTCAATGGGTTGGGACCATTCAGTCTTTTTTTGCCTCCCATAAAAATGCTCTGAACCCTTTGTTTCTGTAGTTTCTCATGGTGAAAATTCTTAGCTATGTCTCCAAACTCCGTGGAAAATTCAGTGTTGAATTCGAAACTACTCTTGCCAAGTTTTATGATTGTGTCTTCTGACTCTACAAAATCATCTTCAGGAAGTAGAATTGGGATTAATGGTCTACGTCTGATTCAGATGTGAAGGTTCAGATTAAATTATTACATTTAGAATTATTGATCACTTGGTTCCCTATTTCAGAATATCATCTTTCCCTTTTTCTAGCAAGAAGTCTTAAGAAAATCAATGTTTGCTCTTCAGTGAATCATTTGACAAAAACACATGAAGCTTCTTTATTACAAAATGTACAGAAGTCTTGCTTCAGACTGCAGGATAACCAATATGTTATCTGATGGCACAGTTCCGTTACAGGTTCTCATGATAATTACTAGTTGGTTCTTTGAAATGAAGAATGTGAAAAGCATTACTGAACTATTTCAAGGAAGCAATATATATAAAGCATTTTGGATAATTCTATAGTCATTGTCCTAGCATTTTCTACAGCTGTGGGGAAACGTTGGTATATTTGGACTGTTGTGGAGTTTTGGGATTGACCTTGAGAGAGGCAGGATTGCACCAGTAATTAGGTTTATCTTTCACAATCAGAACACTGGATATATTTTAAAACTAAAGATCCATTTAGGAGCTTTCTTTTCTTTTGACTTTGATTTGTGCATTATTAATAATAGCCACAGAAATAATTTTACCTCTTTCAGAGCCATGTAGTTAGATACCCCTATCAGCTACTTCCTCCAGCAGAACATTGGCATAAGTAATTGGGACTGATGTGATACTTTTGCATTGGTGTGAATTGCACCCTTGGAGACAGTTCCTTTTTCTTAAGTTTCATGATGCTTATTTTTTTATAATAATTATCAAGCTGGAATAAATTACCTACTTTATGAAGCTAAGAGTTAAAGTATATAGCAGCTGAACAAACATATAGTAATTTTCTCACGGATAGCACTATGAAAATTGTATGTTGTTTTTTATTGTTGCTTACATTTTGTTGACAGAAAGAGCAAAAATCTTGGTTTTCTTGGACAACAGCAAACCTCAAAAACTGGAGATGAGCAATAATCCAGAAGAAAAACTTGAGCTCTTCTCAAACAGAGAAACTTTAGTTTATCAGTGTTCAAATCAGACTCAGTGGTCTGGACTCAATTTAGACCTGAGGTTTATTTTGTGTGATGTTTAACTTGAAAGCACCACATGAAAGTACTTTCTATGGACATGTTTTTAATAGAATCTAGGTCAGAAGCAGGCAGAGAAGGCCATTAAGCAAGCAGAGTGAAAAGGGCTGACCAAAAATGGATTCAGTGAGGCACCTGGCAAAACCAAATGCAGGGAAATAAGAGAAACCAGGTTATTAAAGAAAGCTATAGTGTTTCAGGCAACAATGTGCGATAAAGGTGTGAGTGATAATTTTCAAAATTTATATGCATTTAGTTAAAAGAGTACATATTGTTTCTCCTTCATGCTCTTTTAACTCAGAAGATTTTAGTTTTCCCAGGCTGCCTTTTTCACTCAGTTCCCTGTAAATTCTGTTGTAAGCCTGTACAAAGGATTGCTGTTTTCTGTCAGCAAATTACATCACTGTTGAATGGCATCAGGTCTCTTCTCATCCATGACGGTTGGCACACTGTCCCTCTGATGATTCAAGGCACAAAGCTGTGGAAGTGAGTCCAGAGCTCCTTCTGGCAACACCTCCACTGGAAAGGTGATGGGCAGATTCAGTTTCTTTACACATGGATCACGCTGGATAAGGAGAAAAGGAAAAAATCTTGTAGGTCGAATAAAGTTGTACAGTCCCTTCTCTCTGCAGAACAGACGTTAGAACAGAATGAGATGAGGAGAGATCAGGTCATATTTGTAGGTAGAAGCAAACGTAAAACACGATGACAAGAAACTACAACTTAGGAAGGTTTAAGCCGAAGCAGGGAGTCAAGGAATGCAACTGTTGCAATTCCTGTTTTGACAGGTTGATAGAGGAGAAGGGGCCCATGTATGTGGCAAGCCAGTACTTACTTCAAGTAAATAAAATAGGAAAAATACGATCATGAGTGAAGAAAAATAATATGAAATAAATGAGGCTCTTTAAGCCTAAGTGTTTTGGCAGCATCTAGGAGGAAAATATATTCCATACTGCAAGAGCAGGAATAGAGATGATTTTAAAAGTCAACTGCTACAGTAATGATTTTTATAATGTACTTGTAATATTCCAGTGTTCGTCTCCTTCTCAGCAATTTAATGAACCTTAATCAGTGTAAAGTATCTAATTCAGGAGCATTTTCCCTGAGTGTGTTCAAAAGGAGTTCTGGTTGGTTTAAGAGTTAGAGGAATGCCAACATGCCTCTTCTGCCTCCCGCAGAGGAGTAAAAAGAGGACATGGATGGCATGATAACATTTCCATTATGTGAATTATGGGCACAAATGATAGCAAATCTCAACAGCAGAATAAAAGATTAGTGTGAAAGAAGACCTGGGAGAAAGTGTGAAAAGAAAACCAGAGTCAAACTGTAAGGTTTAAAGAAACACAGCTTTAATAACTGGCAAAAGCATAATAAGCCATGATGATTTTGTTGTTAATAACTCTTATTTGAGTAGTTTTTAAGGATTCATTAAAATACGAAGAAGAAGACAAAGAGCCTTTAACAAATATGTATTGTCTTTCTGTGTTCAGGTCTATCTTACAGCAGCTGTTTTTGAGCTTGACTTTTCCACGTTTCCTTGAAGCAGGTAAGTCAAGAGAATGTTAAAGAGTCAACTTTGCGTGAAGTAGAAGGTAAGAATTTAGGCTGGGGGCCATATTTGGGTCTCCCCATTGCGTCTGTGACTTTAAAATGTCATTGCTTATTTATTTATTTTCTTCTTTCTGTCAGCTGATATGGAAGATGATGATTTCGGTGCCGCCCTGCCTAAAACAAGCTGTATCACTGAGCAAACTCAGTATTTCTTTGAAAATGACGATAAATCCTTTGGTGGGATAGTAGACTGTATAAATTGCTCCAGGTAAAATTTCTTCAATATAAATAATAACTTTGGGATAGTCATTTATTTTACAAAAGATAATAACACTATTATAAGAACAAAAAATATATTTTGGATTAATTACACCAAACTTACATAAGCAAGACAGAAAAGTATGCAGCAGTAAAATGATAAATTGCATTCTCTTTCTATTTGATTAGAATGAATTTTAATTGTAAAAATTAAAGAATTATAGAAATATTTTAGTCAAACTTTTGTTTTATAATCTGTCTATGCTCCATGAAAATCGTATTTCTATGTCTGTTACAATTTGTTTTCTTTTAGTTTGTCATGTGAACTTAAAGGTGTTCTGCAGTATTCAGAAGCAGATAATTTTCTTTAATCTGCTTAGGTATTGGCATTTTTGATGGTCAAGAAGATTATGCAATTTATCTTCAAATTTACCTTCTAGTCAATAGTGCTCATGATTTAAAAGCTGTGGGTCTTATTAAGCAAACCATGCTGTTTTGTTTTGTGATTAAAAGAATTACTCTTCAGACTCCTTGTGCCTCTTCCAGATGATGTTTAATGTTATTTTAAAAAAACTGGATACTTAAGAAATATAGCAACTTGGACCCAGTTCTGTGTTTCATACAAAAGCCTGCTGGGTTGAAAGTTTGCATACATTAGGAGTTTCTGAAAATGTCTTAGAAATTAAAATTAACAGTCAGATTTCAAACTCCTTGAAGACAATATTTCAAGCCAGGAAAGAAAAACAGAAGACATTGGAGAATGGTGAATACAGCCAAAACTCACAGACATTTTTTCCCACTTCCATACTTCCTCCTCCATGTTGCTAGTATGTGTTTATGTGGTACTGGTTGTGCAGAGAACTCATTAAGCTGGGTTTTTTGGTTTTGCTTTTGTAGGGTTTTTTGGTTTGGTTTTTCGTTGTGGTTTTGTGGGTTTTTTTAATCTGGAGAGTTTTCAGAAGAGTTCTTCAGTTTACTGAAAGACTACAGAAATTATTATGCTAATATTGCAAAAATAGTGTGGGAATGAGTACAAAAGGACAATTTAAGCTCGTTAAAACAACCAGATATGTAATCACAACATGAGTTATTTAATTAACAGGTATTTTGTCCTCTTATTGTACCCAATCAGTGGTACAAACTCATCATCTGGAATTTCAAAAATAATCCGATCAATTCACACCTAAGTAATAAAACTCTGTTTATATAGAGTAGTAACCACCTATATGAAAAGGCTTGCTTGCTATTTTATGTGTACATGAAAATGTATTTAGAATCCACTAAAAGCAATTAACCTGTTAGATTGTCCTGAATTTACCTCTTTGACAGGTAGAATATATTTTATTAATGACTAAGATATATTAAGATTTTTTTTCTCTGCTTTTTTGAAAGTCTCTCTGCCTTTCAAGTAAATTTAAATTGTACATTAAAATTATCCTTGAAAAACCCAGAAATATCCTTACCTTTAGTATCTAAGGCATGAAGTGTAGTATCTATAGCTTAAAGGTATAATGCTGCCTATTCAATTATTTGTAAATTGAAAATGACCCTACTAACTTAAAGGCCTTTTGTGGAATTATATGTACACAAAAATACAACAAATATACATCCAATGCACAAGCACACATACTCTAAACCTCTTTCTCACCCTTCTTACAGACAGGTTTATGTGGTGGGGTTTTGGTTGGTTGGTTGGTTGGTTTTGTGGTTGGGGGTTTTCTCAGTGTTGTTAGGGGAAGCATTCAGGCTGAACTGATTTTATTTCTCAGTACAGCTACTGTTGTAGCAGTTGAGAGCTAGCTATTAACTCAATTAAAGTCATTTTATGCTCTTTTCCATTTTTTCCACTAATAAGTCTAGTTGAAAGGGGAAACCATGGAAATGTCGAAAAGATTACAAAATTTGTTATAAATGTTTCTTGCTGTTCGTTAATGGAAAAGATAAACAGTAGCAGGCAGACTGAATCTGTGAAGTTGGATTACTTTTATTCCAATACTCTGTGTCCTTCTCAAATACGGATTTCCTTGCTTCATTTAAACATAGGTTTTTGTTGGCTTTTTTTCCAGACTTTATCATGCGGAGAAGATTTCAAACACCAATCTAGTATTCATTATTAGTGACAGCCAACTGCTGTGCCGCTCCTGTGACCCAAAGCCACTGATGCAAGCGGAGAAGCCGGGTATCCTTTAAAATCATGTTATTTAGTAGTGTGGATTGATTTTTGGCTATGATATACTGGAATATATTTGGAAAAAAATGTCTTGTTTATGTACATATTAGTAGCACAGTTGCCACTGCAGTACTTGAAGCAGCAGATATTTGTGGATGATATCACAAATCATCTGAGGCAGCGTTCATTGAGGTAGAGAGCAAAGCTGTTATTTGTGAGGACCTAAACAGAAATGGACTCACAGGAACTTAATGAAGTTTCCAAAAGGCAGATGCAGTCTTGGATCCAGGGTAGAATAATGACATACAGCTGGACAGGCTGGGGGTGGTGTGCCTAGAAACAGCTTTGCAGAAAAGAACTTGAGTATCATGATGGACAAGAAGTTGAACATCAGTTGGCACTGTGCCTTGCAATAAAGAGGTCCAGTCACATCCCGGGCTATGTTAGCAAGAGTGTAGTCAGCAGGTTAGGAGAACTGATCCATCCCATCTCTTCAGCACTAGTAAGACCACATCTGGAGTGCTGTGTACAGTTTAGGGCACCCCAGTACCACACTGACATACTGGAGGAAGTCCAGTGAAGGTCCACCAAGGTGGTTGGCACCTGGAGCACAGGACAGGCAAGGGGAGCCTTAGTCCTGGGTTTGTTCAGCCTTTGGAAAAGACAAGGGTATGTCTGTCTAGAGAAATAACAAAAAAGGGCAACACCAAGAAAAGAGTGTTTGGTCATGAAAAGTTGGGATGCTGCACTGATGCCTGCAACACTGAGGTAAAGTGATGGGGGCACTTTAGTGTGTGCTCAGTGCCAGTAAGAACTGCTTACTACTTGTGGAAACTGCTTTAACCATCAAAGGCTAGAGTTTATCCAGCTGCTAGCATAGAATTTCTTCACAGCTGGCTGGAGGCATAGGTGGCATACGTGCTAAGCAGAGTCCTTGCAACACATGCATTAAAATTAAAGGCATGGGAAAGGTTGTTCTAATTTACAACCACCTTCATGCCAATCTCTATGCCTTTAGCCTGTTCACTCCAGTAGATACCTGTAGCTGATGGTGATGGAGATATGTAAAACCAACATACACCTATTCTAGGCCAAGAGAAATTCACCTCAATTTTTCTCTGCCATATATGCTTGAGGATAGCATGCCAGAGATGGTAAATGAAATCATAATTTGGATTTTTATGACAGAATATGGCAAACAATTTGTAATACCTTTGTCCATGTCAGGAAGTTCATTGAGACAGCCTCTCCCATTCCTGAAAGAAAAGCAGATGGTGGTAGAGATGACTATGTTTCTTTGGCACAAGCAATGCCTTCATTGCCACATGAATAAAACTGGAATTCCATCTACGCTGGGGCTGAAAAGGATGTTACATTGGGGTGGAAGCAATATCCATGTCATCACAGAACTATGTAAACACAGCCTAATATTCTAATTGGCTCCAGTCCATGACAGTTTGATTAACTGTTGCCACTGTCTGAATTTATAGACAGCACTCGCTATAGAAAATGAAGCACGTTTGATGGGAAATGGGCACATGACTTGCATTTCCCTGTGGGGCCCAAACCTTCTAGAAAGCAATAAATGACCTCAAATGGCAGCCAGAGCAGCTGGGTGGGCTTATATTGACTACATGAACTATTTTATTTTTGTTCCAACTATGCAGTACTAAGCTATTCTCTCTTTTCTATAACTAAGGTACATTGTGAAATGCAGATGTAGCATAACATCACACAAGCAGACAGAATGACCTTTGGGTGCTATTCAGATGGTTATTATTAGACTCTGCTTCCTTCTGGCTGGTACAACTTTGCTTGTGCACATGGTCTTTAAGAATATTTCTACGTTTCGACTTCCCTTTCAGCTGGGCCCCGGCAGAGGAAAGGGGAGGTGAATCTGATAACATCTGAATGAAGGCAGATGTGGATCTGTAGAACTAAATTCCCCATCCTCTTGCCTTCTCTTCCATTGGGCATCTCCACTCATTGCAATGAAGCTGCTGTAGCACTCCACAGTAGTGCATGAATAGGATTGCTTCACGTATCAGTTGGAGATACTAAGATAAGCAAAGTTTTGGTGCTCAATTTTTTTAAAACAATCTAACTTAGCTTTAATGTGTGTACTGCCAACAGTGGAAAAGAAAAGCTTAACATTCTGAATGGTAATATAAGCAGGTTTCAACAGAAGACGGTTTTGCAGTTTACAATATTTGTGCCTTTCAAGTACGCTGCAATGACTTGTGTCCCTTGTTAGCCTGTGGCAAATGTGAAGTATGGTGTTTACACTTAAAGATCAGCAATTACAGATTTCAGAGACGTAAGCTAAAGCGTTACCTCACGTTTACCTTTAGCTAATTAATAGCACGTCACTGCTCCCATTTCTATCCTGCTGTTCTGCTGTCAGTATGGACAGCAGTTTCCCTGTCTCCATCACTGAAATGCTAACGAGATCTGATTAGGTTTTCTGTCATTTACTATCAAAGCCTATAGTGGGATGATCTTCTCTATAATATTTGGAGTAATATTGGTGTACATATAATAAAACCAGTAGTTCCAAGCCTTCACTTCAATTTTCAGCCTGTATATAGCATTACTTTTCCAAACAGGCTTCCTCGCTTTTACTGTGTATCTTCATTTTAGCAGAATAACTCAATGGTAACATATGCTATAACCAATCAGCACCACTGAAAGTTTACTACTTTATCAAATATATTCTGTAATATTTATGCAATGGTAATAAAAGCAATACAGAAAATCTTAAAAAAAATCAGCTTTTATTTTTATTTTGTGTACGGTTCTGGAAGTACTGGTTCTGAAAAGTCATTCAGGATGTTTATTTTCTTGATTAAAGGAGTATAAAAAAAAAAAAAAAGGTATTTGATTTCTATTTATCCAAAGGGTTGGTTTGATTCAGTTTTCTTTAATTTAAACAAGAAACTGTGCCTATTCATGTTTATTTCAGTACTGTCTGAATTAGCATAAAACTTTTCTTCTCCCACAAACGTAACAACAGAATGTTAATCCTGGTAACATACGATGCACGAAAAACAGTCATGCTCCTTAACCAGAGAAACAGATGAAGGGCCAAATCCTTGTGAAATGGTCAAACAACCTAGATACAGAAAGGGTCCTGATGTCTGTTTTGATGAAGCCAAACAGGTAAAACTGAACTTGTAAGACTTTAAATCTTTAAAAACAATTGTAGAGCTGTTTTAGAAGAGCAGTGAAAACTATGTTTAAATGTACCTTGGTGCCTGGTAACCTATCTATCACTAAACATACTGTTCACTGTAGACCATAGCCACTCTATTTCAAGTACCTCATGATTAACATAAAATTAACAGCTGCTTTCTTATCTGCCTTTCCATTGCACTTTCACACATGATTTCCACTAAAAAAAAAAACCAAACCATCAGTGAGCATAGAACTGATGGTCTCTGTACAGTGCTGTGAAATTCAGTTCTTCTATGGCTTTCACAAATAGATGATAATCCTGGCTTAGAAGTAGTATTTTTATATTAGTGTTTCCAAATATTATTTAAGATGTTTTTAAATTATTAAAAACATTATATCTGGTTTAGGATGTTGTTCCTCTTAGAAATTCTGCAAATGTGTGACTTTAGGTCACATTCTTGACAGGTATAAAAGTGCATTGCTTTACTGAAATCAGCAAAACTATGCTGTTTAGTACTCCCTGTATAGTATACGCTACAATTTTGGAGGAGAAAAATTATAACTGTGCCACATACATAAATTATTTTGAATATACTCTCTGTTTTACCTTTCAAAATACTGTATGAGAGAGAATATGTTGAATTCAAATTGTTCAGAATAAATTTCAAGACAAAAAGTACTGAACAGGGAAGTACCTGCCATTATATAAGATAAATATTTTCAAAATGCATTTGTAATGCCTCGTCCCATTTCTACAACAGAAAGATTTTCCAAAACTAGTGCCGTTAGTTGGCTATAAGTGCCATATACAAAGTTTTGTTTCAGTATATTCTCTGCTTTTCTTTAATGAGGCACAATTACTGAGATGTCAGTAGTGTTAAAAAAGTCCAGACAGTTGGTATTCAATGCATTCTTCTAGTAACCAAATTTTATTCTAAAAAGGAAGTCTTCTTACGGGCCAACAAAGGTTAAATGAAGTTGAAAAACCATCCAAAAACTATTTCGCCATTGTACATATTCCAAATTCTCCTGATACGATTGTGTGTGAAAGTACAACTCTTGCTCACTAGCTTGATGTGCTAATCAGTGTGTAAGTCATGTGTTTTGTAACAGTGGATTGTTTTGGTTAAGTTTATTTGCAAAATTTGCTGTGAATCTGTTGCTCTTGGGTGGATGCTTTCACATTAACTCTGCTAACTGCCAGCAATCTGCATGATATCTCATCTTGTATGTCTTTTTTTCTGTGTTTTCTTTCCTTTCCTCTACTTGCTACTTTGCCCGTTATTAATAGGATCAGCCTATATGCACAACGAGTCGTGCCTCTGCCATGACGTCCGCTCCTATCTTCATTTTTCTGCAAGTTTTCATGTGGTGTGGATGGTCAGTTACTTTCTCTAATTTTTTGTTTTGTTCTTGGCTTAAAAAATTAGCAGACTTTTTTACTTACTAAGCATACAAAAGAAAACAGAATGAAGCGAGTCCCAGAAGCAACAATCTGGAGCAATTTACTATTGCAATATTAAGGGAAATTAAATATGAAAAAACCCTGTCTGGAGCCTTATAAATCACAATTATAAAACACAGGGCCTCTCCCTTAGCAAATACAAAGACACGGGAACCTGTTGGGTTTATATGGTCGGCTCTTTGAGATTGCACATGTACCAACCGAGTCAATGTCATTCCCTTCAAAACATTTTTCCCTTGTCCCTGTTAAAATGAAACAGAAGAAGATTTTCTGCACGGAGACAAACAAAAGTACAAAGTAATTAGAAGAGACTATAATACCTGTGAAAATAAAGCTGTACTTAGGGACAGCAAGGATGAGTGCTCTGTGTAAGAGTAAGTGTTGCTATTGAGAAGAGTGACGAGTTTTCACTGCACTCAATTAATGCAAATGGTAATGATGGAAGGTAATAGTGTGCATCAGTTTGGTTAAACTATGAATTCAGTGAAATCATAGTTTTACTTTTTAATTTTTTGCAACCTAAATCATTGCCTAATTACAGCAGAAAGTGGGTTTTTTCTTCTAATGAAGTACATGGCTACATGAAGTCCTGCATGTTGACCTAGTGCAGACTCTGGGGTTCATAACGAAAGCCTTGGCCTTTTAGGCTGTTTTGCATTTAATGGTGGGAGAGTGCGCACTGCTGTGCTAGTGACATGTATGCAAGAGAACTGCTGATCAAAATAAAATTACTGCTGATCGAAATAAAATTCATGACCTTGTACGCTGGGGGGGGGTTCTGATCAATATTATTACTCAGAAAACCACTAGAGGGAGATACTAACATATCTATCAAAGTAAAGCCAACAAGAGAGGCAGAAATGGAAACTTAGAGGTCATTTTTCAGAGTTAGTGTAGTAAAATATGGAAAATTGTAACAATTTAGAACACACATTTTCTCAATAATTTATATTCTCTTTATACTTGGGGGGAAGGTTCAATTAATATCACTGGACCATCAGTGAAAACAAGCTTAAAGATCTATTTAACAGCTGTATTTGAGTAATTTTGAAGTTTCCTATTCTGTATTTAAATGATCTAATATCTAGCAAACGTAGGAACTTGCACAGCCATGGCTGAAGGTTGTAAGGAAGGGCAAAAGTCCCTTCCCCCAAGCCAGTGGTATTTCACATTAAAATCTAGAAGATTAACATCTCATGTTCTTACTCATGCAATTTGCTCTGCAAGTAACCTTATTTTAATTAAAAAGCTACTGTCCAATGTACATAAAGCAGCAGAGACTCACCTTGAACTGAATTCTTTATGTCCAAAATGGTCTTTCTGCCCAAGAAGGCAAACCAAAATACTAGGAAACCCATGAAATATAATTTTAGCTGATAGACTTTTGGCAGCAGAAAGTTATAAAGGTAATTTTGTTCATCCATCCTTTTCTTAATAACTGTGATTTTGGAAATGGGTTCTCACTGGACATTAGTCTGTGTGGTTTTATTAAAATCACTGAAGCCAACACAGATACAAACCAGCTGATCAGGTTCAGTAACGGCAGCTGCTTTTTTTTTTTCATCAAGGGTAACAAAATAGTCTTTATCACCTCCTTGAACAGCTTGCGCTTACTTTGTATATGCACAGTGGTTTTGTTTGGCATGCCTGAGAATAGAGAAGAACTCTACAAGTTTTTAGCCACTTCTGGGAATGTCTTATTTCCATCAGCTCCCAGGGATGTCAGTGGGAGCTTTGAAGGTGATTAGCAGTCCAGAAAACTGCCTACATCTTGATGGGATTGGCTGTATCCCTGATCTATGTGTGGGTAGCTGTACAGCTTTGAGAGCTTTGTGCGGCAGTCCGGACAAAGGAGGGAAACACAAAATTTATGAAAGACCATGCATTAGAACTTGAAATGACTCGAGTAAAAGTAAAGGTGTTCTCCATGCAATATGAAGCATTTAAAATTTATGCTTATAAAAGGTATACCTTTGAGGTAACCAGCTGATATCAAAGGCCAGATCAGAAGCTTTTTGGCAGATACGGTTGTTTTATCCTTTTTATAGTCAGTGTAGCACAATGGGTTCTGATAAATGATTAAGGTTTCAAGACAAATTTTTAGTGCATTAAATAGTGTACTTCTAAAGGAGTAACAGGTATGTGTATAGACTTAGACATGTATGCGCATGTATATGTATCTATATTTCCATGTATATCTTTAAAATTATGGACTGGCACTGCCTTCAAGGAAATGTTGATATATAGCAATGAATATACGAGTTTGATACTTAACAATGAATATATGGTTTTAGAAAAGCATTCATTTCCATTCTGCAAGTGCTGAATAATGTTCACAGCGTGTGATGTTGTAAATTAACCCTCTCTAGAGTTATCATAGTAAGGCATGACATGAAGGAGATGACATTTGCATTTGACACTTCTCTACCTCGAGCATGCAAAGAAATTTGACATGTGACTTACTAATGCAAGGAATTTCTGATATACTCCTGATGAAATGCAACTGGCTAAAAAGGATTATTTCCAATTTCTTTTCCAATTCTTTTTCTCTTCAAAGAGAAATAATTTACAGAATATTATTTTGAAGATAACAAATAGAGGTTATCCCCAACTGATCTGTTGGTTATTCAGGTTTTCTGTGTGACTAATGTAGTAGTAACTAATGTAATGTGCTGGAAAATTTCAGTGAAACTCCTTAAAAATAGTTCAGTGTCTAATTGCACTGGCAGACGTAAAGATAAGGTAAAGATAAGACGAAATGTTGCTATGTAATTTGTTATAAGAAACTTTATAAGAAATCTCAAAAATAACATTTATAGGAAACAGTTGCAAAGTTTTCTTAAAGCTCAGGAATAGGGGAAAAGTTTTCAAAGAGGACATTTTGAAGACCATTCAAAACTGACGTTTTGCTTAATCTGGTTCCAAATTAATGATGGGATCCCACTCATTTCCATAAAACTGTTGATCTTTTGAATTCATGTAAATCAGCATGTAATCAGACTTTCTCTTTTTTTTTATTTACATTTCTTGTAATTTTCACAACAGTTAAAGCACACAAGAAAAGTGCAACGTGCAATGCTGGGGAGGAAAAAGTAATTTAGATAGGATGTACTGTACCTTCTTTGCCACTACTATTTTTGTCTTGGCTTAGGACACAAAAGAATAACTGATTCCAGAGAGAATATTTAGAAATTGTTCTTGGCAGAACTGCTGGTTTACCACTGTAAATTGGTCTACAAACCTCAGAAATTCAATGTGACTTTCATCAATATGAGGTTAAAATCTCACCAACCTTGAAATATGTGTATAAACCTTGTATACTTTTGTCTAGTACAGTTTAGCTCTGTCATTCATAAGAAAAAGATGCCTTTCCTGCATGAGGCTTCCAAGACATTCTCCACTGTTGTGAAGCTGTGAATCTTTTTTAAACTGCTCTGTGTAGTCTTAGGGAGAGAGCAAAGCATATTAAAATATTTCTTTTCAATCCAATAGGGATACTACATAGTATAACTGTTGAATGTAAAAGCAGTGCCCATAAATTGTGACGTAGTTTAAAAAAAAATCTGAAAAAGCAAATAGAAATGGGCAACAGAATGGAGTTTTTTTCAAGTATATGTAGTGGTAGGCTTAATTCATCAACGTAATTTACCCAATATTTGGTCTAATGGAGAGGCGACATGAAAGCTGAGTGCTGTATAATTCTATATGTGGAGGTCCATCTACTCTATCCATACTGAGTGCCATTTTCACTATAATGATATTTTCCCCTTCGTATTATGCACAATTTTGTTTAAGATCTTCAATTTACTTCTTTCTTACTCTCCAGACATCTCCCCTTTGTTGGAAAATTTTAAACCTCTTCCTTTACTTTAGACTATTTCTTCAAAGATGGCTCTTCTAAGTAATTTCAGTGATAAGAATCTTAAATACCAAGAGGTAACACTGAGTACTGTTCATTGAATTCATGTGAGAAGAAACTTTTACTGATAATTCTGTTTCTGATGGTGCTCACTGTGCGGAAGAAGCAACAGGGTTATTTTTAGGTGCTTTGAATAGAAATAAAGCTACATGACAAGACACAATGCAGATGCAAAAAGAGACAGAGCCAAACTAAATAAACCAGAAAGTTCAGTGCATCTTCAAATCTTAGCATCCTACTCCAAATCTGGTGCAGCAGAGTTCACTTATTACTTACTTGTTGACCGGAAACCTTAGGAATTTTGAACTTGTAGAGTGCAATCAACTAAAAAAACAAAAAAAAACCCTAAGCCAAAATTGTAGAACTAAATTATAAAACTAACAGATGACAGAGACACGTCTGGAAATGGCTAATGACTAAAGAACTAACAGCTAATGTGAGCTATTTGCTTTAGGACAGAATGATTTTTTTTTTCTTCTTTTTTTTTTTCTGAAGAACTTGAATGCTGAGTTTTGTTTTGGTTTTTTTTACATCCAAGTTTCTAAAGGAGACTGTTGGTGAATGCTAGAATTCCTAATGACGTAATGAGTCTAATTTGTCTGCTTTATCTGATTTTCTTTATATGTATTCCAAACTGATTCTGATTCTTCTGACCTCTCTGCTTTAAAGAATGCATTGTGTGTGGTGGGAATCTCATTGAAGTCTTCACCCCTTAAAAGTGACACAAAGAACTCACTGAATTCCTTTGCTGTGCCCTGTAATCCCCAAGTTCCCTCTTTACACCTCTGTTATCAAGCAGTTTCCCTAACTCCATATCTGGCTTCATGCTTTTGATTTATTCAAAACTTTCTACTATCGTTTTCAGTATATTTTGCAGGGAGGTCATCAAAAATTCTTTATCAGCCCTCCTAATTTCCTGTTTATATCTAATCTGCCATTTTTATGTGCTTTCCTGTTCTTGCCCATTTGAGTAAACTTGATTTCTTAAATACTGACCTTTTCCCTATGACAGTGTACTTAATTTCCCTACTGATTCATGCAGGGGTGTTTCTTTGGGGTTTGGGGTTTGTTTGTTTGTTTGGTTTTTTTTTGGGGGGGGGGTTGCTGTTTTTCCATTTGTTTGGGGGTTGGGTTTTTGAGGGAGGGAGTGGGTGGTTGATTGTTCTAATTATAGCATTCATTTTACCTGGATATCTAAGGCATTATTTCTAAATAGTCTTCTGTATCCTTGTGAGGGACTTGCTTTTTGAGATGCTGCTTCTAGTTTTTTTCCTGCTTTCTGCTTTTTGTTTGATTGTTTGTTTGTTAAGGGTTTCTTTTCTGTTTTCTTGGTTTTGGGGTTGTTTGTGGTTTTTAACTGCTCTTGGTAATTTTCACATAGTTCCCTTTCCTGAAATTAGTATCTTTTGTTTTGGATTTGTTTGGCCTGATCTCTCACACAACAATGCTACATCCTATTGCATTGTGGTCTACGGCACTACTAGAGCTATGCTATACTATACTACACAGAGCAGCTCTCTACTAATAATTTTGAAGAGGGCCCTGTGCACCACTAAAGATTCAAAGACTGTTTGTTCCAAAAAGCAGTCATTTATCATATCTAAAAATGTGATCTCTACATCTCTTTTTGATAAGGCATCGATCTAGTCTATATGTGGCTTCTCTAATCTCACATATTTCATATCAATCTTTCATGATTGATATTGTCACTTCGATCAGGTGGTCAGCAGTGCAATCCTAGTATTACATTTTTATTATTAGACTCTGAAATTTCTTATCCACAGAGATTCCATCACACTTTCTTTTTCCTGTAGTACTTTTATGCTATTCCACTTTGTATCATCCTTTGCATACTACCCTTCTGCTGTATGTCCTACACTGCCATTCTTACAAAGCTGGTAGCCTGACAATGCTCTTGTCTTACTGATTATTCTCCTTCCACCGGGTTTCTGATATGTGTATTGTTTTGGAATGGTTCACTGATGACTTTTCTTCGTTCCTCCATCTTAATTTTATGTCCCTAGCATTGGTGTAGAAGCACTTGAAAGTTTTGCTTAAGGATGTGCCAATAAATTAAAGGTGTTTTAATGACCCTTTCTTATTTATCCTGATTGTACTTTTTATCCCCAACCCTCCCGAGCCTTTTCTGAGGCACGTTGAATATTAGTTACATGTGCCTCAGTGGCATGTCAGTCTGAGCCAGGAGCTGTACCATGCTCGTTGGCTTTCCTCCGCTTTCTGTTCTAAAACCTTTTTAATTTCTGTGCCAGCAGCCAGGCTCTGTTACTGTTAAGGTTCAGTCTGTCCTTCCCTGCATATGTTCCTCCTCTTCAAGAAGATTCCCCAGCTCCTAATATACCGAGGTCCCTTCCCACCTACACTGTTGTCTTGTCCTTGGGGGCTTGGAATCTCTTGGAAAATGGAAAGTGTCTTTTTATACTATGGGTACAGAATACAGTGAAAACAAGAGGAAAACCAAATATTTTCAGCCTCAAGAAGGTGTAAAGATGTTACAGACTTCAGAACAGGTGTCAAATGTATTTCAGCCAGACTAATGAATAGGTCCATAATGTGAAAGGTATGATGCATTATAGGCAATGTGGGACCAAACGATTAATGGTAAAGAGGAATGGGGAAAAGAGGCGTGATCGCTGTGTGGCATAATGAATAGTTAGGTCCACTGATGTGTGACAGAGCAGTGCAGCTCAGAGTGAGCCCTCAAACAGGCTGGTGTCTTCTCTACAGACTGCATCAAACGTGTACAGAAAGCCAACAGAAAATTTGGTTCTTATACTTAAATACAGGATCAGAGACAGAGAAAGGATTTTCATTCTCTTTGATCATATCTTCACCTGCAGAGCATATTTGTTTTAATGTGCGGTCATGTTGATGAAATGAACATGAACATATTCCAGTATTTGTTTTCTGACCTTGAAAAGTTACCTGTTCTTCCGTCTTTCCTCACAATGAAGTGATACTCAAAATCTCCAAATCGGTGTAATTTTAAGGAATATAGATGTGGTTTACTGGGGCCCCCAGGTATAGCATTTCTTGTTTGATTGTGTAAGTGTCCCATCTAGTTCGTAAGTGACTGCAGGAAGCCTTGTAAGTATTTAATCCTCCCATGCTTATAGTTAATGTAGTAATGCCACTCTTTGTATCAAAAATCAGACAAACTTCCACGAATTATTTGCTGTTATTTTAGGCAAAATAACATATATAAGACCCATAAGGATGCCTCAAGGATAGTTCAAAATGTTGAAGAGTTAAATGTAGATTGCTTCTCAGGAAATTTAATTGTAATTAATGTTAAATGATTTCCTCTTTTCTTGTCAACAGGAAGATTCGGCCGACTGCGGTGGTGTCTCTGGTCTGAGTCCATCACTGTGGTCTGTGGTAGGAATTCAGTTGGTCCTGCTTTGGCTGTTATCTGGCAGCAGACACTGCCAGTTATGACCTCGCTAAACCAAAACCTGCGTAACTTAATCAAGACCTGGCCAAAACGATAGCCTCAGTTTCATTTTAAAAAGGGTCAGCTATTCAGACAGCAGCAGAACAGCAGTGCTCGTGTCTGGTTATCACTCGCTGTGAGACTCATAAAGGCACCCACGGTGGCTGCATGTTGGAGTGTCAGATCCTTAAACGTGTGTGAATGCTGCATCATCTATGCCATCCAAACAGAATTCTGTACGTGCTCCATTGGGGAATCTAAAAATTTTTTTTTTCATTTGTTTGTTGTTGTAATCTTGATGACTTCTTCATGTAAAAGGGCTCCCCTGACAATAGCTTATGCATATGATTTTAATTTCTTTTAAGCTTTGGATATCTTGAAGATTTATATTCTTTTACATAAACAGTTATTAAAAAAAAAAAAAAAAAAGAAAACATACTCCCCAATATCCATTACTAGCACCATGATGGCTGCTTTGATCAGTTTTGTCCAAACTAGTTGAGTAAAATGAAAATATTGGCTAGTATTCATCAGAAGTTCAGCATGATTGAAAAGCTTTATGATGAGTGGTTTATTCTTCCAAAATGAATCAAATAGCAAGCTACGTTTTGGTAGGTTGATAAATTGTTAGTTTAGGAAGGAGGGAAGGAAGGAAGGAGGGAAGGAGGGAAGGAAGGAAAGAAGGAAGGAAGGAAGGAAAGAAACTTCTGTTTTTAAAAATATAAAGGTGCTTGAGAGTTTAACTAAAAAGTGATTCTCATCTTAAACTTGGTGTCATCTTTTGTCAGAAAAATGTTAATTTCAATGTAATATTCACCTCCTTTTCACAATGCAGTTATATATAAAGCTAGTAGAATCCTTCAAAGGCTCAAACAAAAATGCTTGTGAATAAAAAATGTCTTTGTGATATTTGAACGTTGGTTTCCAAGGGTATTTTGCATGATGATGATGCTATGTTATTGTTTTTCAGTTTGTTTTCTTTGATGGTAGAGTATAGTCCATTGAAAAGGTAACTGAGTGATTCTTTTATTGTGTGAGAGACTGAACATTGCAATGTATTGCAATCAAATCATATTAAATTATATTATGAAACAGAGCTCTGAATATACTGTGCAATGAAAAAGCTGAGAAAATAGGGTAAATTTAGCTATCGTAACAAAAGGGTTGAGTTGGATTTTTTACAGAATAGTGATCTCACATGAAAACCTGTGTACAGATATTTTAAGTACATAAAAATCAGATTTAACACATTTATTTTTGGAAGTATATGTTCTCTAAGGTTCATTTCAGGTTCCTCCTTTGTTTCCGTCATATAAAAACACCTGTAATATTAAAACTTCTGCTGTTGCTATTTATTACTGAAAATAGCATATTTAACAGCAAAGTGTCCTGGTTGCTGAGATTAGAAAAACTCTAAACAAATGGGGAGCCTTGAATCTATATGTATGCATATTGATACTTGATTGTGAATAATAATTTTAGAAGTTGTTTTTATACAACCTCATTGGTGATACAGATTGGTGCAGTAAATTACAATATTACAGTGTAGCATAGTGTGGATGCAAAATATGATTTGCGCTTTTTTTCTAGTTTTCAGAACTAAACAGTATTGCAAGACAGCTAAACCAATGAATGTGCAACTCTGCTGGTATTGTACAATTCTGCTAACAACTGCAATATGCAAATATTAACATGGCACAATACACTAGCTCTTTAAAAAAATAAGAAAATGCAAAGCATTGGTATGTATATGCTGGTAATTGATTGATATAATTTTGATCATGCCAAAAGCTTGAAGAAATAATTGGGCATGCATTAATATCCTATGAAAACTGAAGAAGCTACTCAAAGCCGTGGCATGGCTTAAAAGATCAGATGTCTACTGTAGTTGTACCCATGGCTGGTTCACTGTTTTTGTCATGTACCTTGGCTCCAGCTGTGTATTTTCTCATGTTTGGGAATACAGTGAGTGAAAAAAATAAAACCTGACTTTTTGTTCAATGATCAGATTTAGCTTTTTAAAAAATATCTCTAGTAAAGTCACGGGGTTAAAGGTACAATTAACTGTGTTGGATGACTTCAGGTCCTCAGGGAAGGTGAGCTATTTTTGATAATATGGGTGAAGATAATCTTGGAGCTCTTCCTTCCAGTCATATTACTGCACTTCTCTTCACCCTATCACCAGTTACCACCTGATAAAAAATTGACTTGAGTCTTTCTCATGCTGAGACTGCATCCTGTATTTTTCCTTAACATGGTCAATTGAAATTTTATGGGAGGAACAAGTTTTGTAGGATTAGGCCAATACTTACTACACTCATAGCTTTTACTCTAAGATTACTTAAAATACATATTAGCTTGCATTTTGTGCTTCTAATTTTTCTCTACAGTTTCACTTAGCTTCCCAAAAGAAACCCTTCATGGAAAAGTTACATTATTTAACATTTTGGAACAATTTGCTTACGCTGGTAGGCCATATTTTGAGTTACTTAATAAAGATTTGATTAGAGTCTGTAGGCAGAAAGAAAGATGGCACAAAGCCATGCTGCCACAGAAACCAACTGCGGCTTTTGCTCTCATCCAACTTCCCTTAGAGTGCTGGAATACAAAAGGAGGGAGAAGCCCATGCCATGCAGACACATGAGCCTTCTTGGCTTATCCAAAGAGGGAAACGTCCTTTGTTCCTCTCCTCTGCTCCTCTGTATGACCTGAAGAAACGTGTTTCTGTATAAACATTTAGCCTTCCAGCCATTATACCTGTCTGATAGAAAACTCAGGATCTGGCCCTCCCAGAAGGGCTTTGTACTGTCCCCATAGAACTCAATACTTTAAAAAGGAAAAAATGAAATTTTGGCTTCTTTTTGCAGAAAGCAATATATAGTTTGATTATATCCAAGTGATGGTCAAGATTTTTTAAAATGCACTACCTAGATATCTGCAAATTACAAAACACAGAGAGAAAATGCAATGTGAACTTTAACTATCTCAAAATGTGAACACCAGTCTGTTAGAAATAACTTGCACGAATAAATACATATTCTCATGCAGAAGACTATCCTTACTCTCACATAATGCATAATAGTCATCTTCTTTTGTCTGTGAGAGACGAAACTTGATCCTAGGCTTTAAATTGAGACATTTTCAAATTACAATATGTTGTAAAAAGTTTTTTTCTTTTTAAAGCCAGATAAAAAGCTCTGTTCATATTTGCTTAGATCCTTTAAATAGCACTAAGGGAACTGTTGGGACTGTTTCAGTTTACACAGAAGTCATGCAGCCTATTGTATGTCTGACAAATAACCACCATTAAAGTCGTTACAGCATGGTACTGTGCAAACATGATCTGAGGACTTAACATGAAAGGTTTCTTTCTAGTTTTTCATTTAAACAACCAGCATTACTGCCAAAACACTGACCGTGGTCCATATTTGTAACAGGTTTTTAACATGACATAGCAGGTTCGATTGACAAGATTTTTAGGTCCTGTACCTTTAAGATTTTAGTATGATCTTTTTCATGTTTCTAATGCTTGAGGCTTTACTGCTTAACTTGACAAAAAACAGTGTTGCTGCCATTTGTAAGTTTTCCTATAATATTCCTTTTACTAACTTAAAAACTGGCCTTACTGGGTTCAAATAGGCAGTATCCCTTTTAAGTGACCTTTGCAACCCAAGTGTTACTTGCTGTGGTTTTTCGGTATCACTGAAGAGACGTTAAGACCTTTTGTTCCCATTAACACTTAAGCTCAGAAAACGTGCTTAGTATGTCTTAATTTCAAAACACAACCTCAGTCTCACTCGTCCTAAAAATTCAGATGCTAGCACACTGGTTATTCAGAAGTATATTAATGCCTCCAAGGCTCTGCAAAGCACTTGGGTGGTTTTAGAATGTCAACTGAAGGTGAAATCTTAATAACTCCTTCCTTAAGACAAATTTTACCCTAGCTTCATCAGACATCCAAGCCTTTAACAAAGGCCAGATTTATTATTTTTTTCATACCGCAATGTTAATATTGTTAATACTCATTGTACACTACTGTAAAAAGATTAAAACAAAGTGTCTGAAAGCAATTCAAGAGTTTTGAAAAGTTAGCCTCACCCTCTTCCCAGCTACTTGCATCTGTCCTGTTTATGGTTTAAAAGAAAAACATCATCTTGAAGAAATAATTTCACTGAGGCTAAAGGGATACTGTCTTGTTCAGATGCCATGAAATTGCGATTGTGATCTGACAAAGCTGTCTTCTCTTCTTGTGTTGTATGGAATGTCTGGATCATGCTTTCTGGGATGTTTTTATTGAAATGCTCAGTGTGCGTTTCTGCAAAAAAAGGCTTGATTGCTCTTACAAGGCAAGCAGGTCTTTCTCCCTTTTCTTGTGTTCTCTTGACACTTTTGTGGAACTTGACAAGCCTGGAAAAATATTTTTTTGTAAAAATTTGTACAATAATGTTATAAAAAGTTTATAATCCTAGAACTGTTGTGTTAATTCTTGTGCAAAAACAGTATATTCAGAATAAAAGTTTATCATTTAAAATCAACAACTACTTTGATTGTTCACTCTGTATAATAAAAACATGTAAATAAGAGCCTACATAATTTGCTATATAATACTTCTGAGTTGGCTATATAATTGCACCCAAGTGTCTGAAAGAGAGAGATTTTCCCATGCGGAGACAGTGACTTAAGTCGCTTTGTATTGGGGTTCAAAAGAGGATGTGCAGCAAACCCTCATTTCTGCTTCATTTGTGGCTGTGAAAATTTTAAAAAAGCTAAAAAAAATTGTAACCAAGGAAAACCGAGAGTCTGTAAAGCACTCAGTAAAACAATAGTCTGCAAAGCATCTGAAGTAGCCCTGTTGTTCTGAACAATTGTGGAAGGATTGCCATTTACTAACTTGTAAAATCGAAATCGAAGGGGTCATTCACATGCAGAAGCAGAATAAAATCAGATGGCTCAGATGGGTGCTGCCCAAGTTGTTGCCTGACTTCTGACAAAGATTTGCTTCATGCTTTATGAATCAGCTTCTGTACTGCTGCCGTTCTCAGCTAAGCATTAAATTCAAAGTGGATCTATGTACCTTAATAAACAGGCTTGAGATGTTCAGGAGTTGCTTCACTGGGTTTTCAGACTTACTGTGGTGGCACTGGCAATCTCTGTCAGAAGGGCAGGGCAGATGGCTGCAAGTGGTAACTGCTTTGGAAGCCTGATTTTAATCCTTGACTGTGTACGTGTCAAAGCCCAGAGAATGGCAGTTGTAAATTACTGCTGGATTTACTGAATCCCTGCGGAGTCAGATAAGAGAGTAAGAAATCAAATGCAGATTCTAATGCTGCAAAGTAACAGATCGCCCATGTGGAAATGCTAAAAGGCAGCACATGACACTGCACATCAACATCCAGATATTACTGGCCTCAACTAG